TCCCCCCCCCCCCCCCCCCCCCCCCGTTACTTACACCTCGCAGAAAGGAGGGAGGAAGAAAACTAGTTGTAAAGAGGTATGTATGTATTTCTCACACTTGCATCATTTTTGGATATCCCAGATTCCATATACATTTGCGTCCATGACTCTCTTTTTGACACTATATAGATCCACTTGGTCAAACACAAGGAAAAAGAGGGAAAAAAAAAGAACAAGCACTCATTTGAACACATGAAATAGTAGATTCATTCCATCACGCCTTATTTTACCATGCGCGAAAGCCGAGCCCAGAAATAACCAAAAACACCGCGTTACCCAGAGAGACAAAAGGGATTGATATACAAGTGACACAGCCCTAGGTCAGTTGTTCCCACCCAAGAGAGAAAAAAACGCCGTGATACTATGCATGGAAATGTGATTGTAGAAGCCGTACTGAGACCGATCCCTCTTCACACCCATATACAACCAGAACAATTCAACGATGAAAGAGAAACCCTAAAACCTAGGTATTACCCCCATGACTCCTCAATTTGCGTCCAGCTGCCAACCCAGGCCCGACGCTATTCCCAAAATTCGTGATATTCTCCCTATCAGTCTTCTCACCAGCAATCCCTACCGTCTTCCTCATCTTCTTCATCGGCAGCTTACTCGCCTCTTCGCCACTTGTACGCTTGTTCTTGCTTGGCAGCAGCCCGCTGGCCAGCGAGTCGGAAGAAGACTGGGATGCGAGATGGGGAAGAGGCTGCGTATGAGCTTCCTGCGCCACCACGTTAACATCTAGCTCCCGCAGAGAAGAGGGGTTGCCTCCGCCTGTGGGGAGATGCGATATTGTGTGGGCATGCGCACTAATCAAGGGGAACTCGAGCTTGGTGGCAGTAGGTGAAAATATGCTGGTCGGTGAGGCGAGGCTGAGAGAATTTGTGGCGTCGTTGAAGATGGGTTGCTTGGATGGACTGCGAACGTTACTGTCGGACGATGTGGGGCGGTTGCGGAGACGAGAAATAATATTTTCGTGAGCTTCGGTGCGAGGAAGGGTCGAGGGGATGTTGTAGGATACGCGTTGAGGTGTCTCGCCAGTGGGGTTGTACTCGATGAGATTCTGGTTGGCGACAGTTTCACGGAGCTCGTGGAGTGGTGCGCGAATATCTGATTCAGCAGACAGCGACGGTAGTGTCTCCTTCAAACCAGTTGTATGTGCTGACATTTCGGACTCAAGGGACTGGACGCGATCAAAGGAAGAAGCCAAGTGTTCTCCTATGCTCGAGTACGAGGCTCCTACTGTTGAAGAGAGTGCAGCGAGCGATGTTGTATGCGCAGCGTGGTGAGCATTGTTCTGCTCACGGATACGAGAAACGATGTCGTCCAAAGATTGCAACTGAGTGTCCAGATGCGCCATCTGGGCTTCGACCGTTTTGACGGTACTTTCATGAACAGATGTTGTGGTCTCCTTGATCGAGGTAGCATGTTCGGTTGCAGCCTGATCAACATTAGCGTGTGAAGTAAAAGATGACATGATACACTTACAGCAAAGTCTGACTTGATCTTGATCTTGACAGTCTCTCTCGATTTCGATACGCCTGCCAGGATGTCTCTTGATTTGTCTGACCACGCGTTGACGCCTTCTGTGTAGGCACCCTGCTTGGCTTCGAATGCAGTGTTGGCAGCGACAATCTCTCCACGCACAGCAGAGAGCCTTTCTTCCAGCCTCTTCTCCTGTGCATCTGCGTTTGCAGTCATAAGCGCGGTGATTTGTGCCAACAACTCCTGCCGGTCCTCGGCAGATTTCTGCTTCTCCGCATCTACGAGTTTCGCAAGCTGGCCCTCAGACGCCTTGTGTGCCTCGATCAAAGCTGTGTTGGCTTCTACAACCTGCTGGTGCAGTCGTTCATTTTCGGCTTGCTGGTCGTTCAAATCCTTGACCAAGTCGTCGAATGTGGTCTTGAAGTCGCGGCCTAGACTTGCGTAAGATGAGTGGACTTGCGTGTGGAAGGCATCCAATTCCGTGATGATGTTTTCTGAAATGGTCTCTGCTGCAGCAGAAAGCTCATCGAGGCCTGCACCGATCTTGGACTTCACCTCCTCACGCAGTGTCTTAATCTCCTCGAGGACCTCGTTCATGTGATCGCGCGCTTGCGCAGTCTGTCCGTTAACCTCCGCCTCGGATGTTTGGTACGCTTCCATCTTCTCCTGCAAGAAAGATTGCGAAGCGCCCAACTTCTCAAGTTCGTCCCGGACAAATGTCTGCATACGCTCCGAAATGGCATCCATCAGTTGTTCTTGCTGATGTTGGAACTCCTCGATCCGGTCCTCAACTAGGCGAGTGGTGTCTACAACCTGCGTTTGCGAAGAATTCCAATTACGTCGGTTTTGTGACTGTAGCTCTGATTTCCTGCGGATTTTGGATCTCAAGCCATCGATTGCTGATGTTGTCTTGCCCAGAGTTGACATCATGTCCCGTCCCACTTCTGCCAACTCTTCTTCAGTCTTTTGGTGTGCCTTACGTAGCTCCGTCTCCTCATCTAGGTTTTGACGAGTGTGGTTTAAAACAATCTCCGTCTTCTCCAGGATACCCTTTGTGCCATCCAACGCCAGTTGCGTCTGTTCATTATCTTTCTTGAGTGTTTGGAACTTGGTCGTCAATTTGAACAGGTCTTCAACCTTTGTGCGGAGGTTGACCTCCATAGTATCGAGCCGTTCGCGCTGCTCCTCACTAAGAATGCGTCTCGACTCGCTTATCGTCGTAATCTCATCGTAGTTTTCCTGGGTAAGATAAACACCATTTCGTTGCCGTGTTGCTATCAGCTCGCTCTTTAGCTTCTCGATTTCCATGGTGTACTCTTTCAGTAGGGTTTTCTTGTTGATTGGCTGGTTGACCTGGGGTTTGTTCCGGATGTTCTTTGCGCGGAAGGCGTAGTCTAGGGTGGAGATGGTTTCCTCGAGGTTGCTCTTAGCTGGCGACAAGGTTGCAATGATGCAGGTTTTTGTTCGACCACCTAGTGAGTCTTGAAGCAGACGGGTCAGCTTCGACTCCCTGTAGGGGATATGAGAGCTGCGTTCGACCAGCGCATTGATAACGCGACCCAATGTTAGCAAACTCTTGTTGATCAGACCGGCTTCTGCAGCACGCTTGTTCTCAGCTCCACTGCGCTGGATGTTTTCACTACCAGCAAGATCGACCAAGTTGAGTTTTCCGGCGCTGAGGTATTCCTGGCCATCTTCTGTTGTTCGCTTGATATATACGGTAATGGTAAAGACGGTATGACTTCGTGAACTGAGGTCGTTGCACTTTGTCGCTGCGACTTGTCGCTTGTGACTTCCATTGGCCAGGAGCTTGATACCCTCGGACGCAGTCTTGAGATGGCATTCCTCCATACCCTGCACCAAAGTAGTGGTAGAACCCTTCTTGCTGTTGTCATCATAGATTTTGAGTTTTGTGGCATCGTCCGGGGATAGGAGATCGCGCAGCTCTTCGTTGTACAACTCGATGAAGGAGCACTTTACAGAGTTCTCAATCCCATCAGCTTCAAGGCGGTCGAAAAGGGCGTGCAGTACACGCGGTACTATTCCGGCAGCGTCTGGGAGTGGCAGGACGTTGGAGATATCACCAGTCATGGTGTAGGTTTTGCCAGTGCCGGTTTGGCCATAGGCAAAAATTGTGCAATTGAAGCCGTCAACGACCTATGGTGATTGTCAGCCGCTGCAGCCATAGACGGCATCTTCTCAAATTACCTCATTCAAAATTGGCGAAACGACCTCATCGAAGATCATGCTCTGATCGGCTGCGGGAGAAAAAACTTTGTCGAATTGATATGTCTTGTTGCTGGTCGCACTAGGTCCCATGGATAAGTCTACAGTCGAACCCTTGATTCCGTTGGTTGACACGACGACGCCGCTGTTTTCGCGCACCTCACGGTCGTTGCGCCCTCTACATCGGACGACAACATTGATGTTGGTCTCTTCTCCATCGATCTCGAACTCCCGGGCTTGGCGCTTAAGGGGCGATGATCGCAGTGCCCTTGTTGTCGAAGCCACTGATTCTGCTCTTGACGTGCGGCCGTCCATGGCGGGTGTTCCTGACCGTCCACGCGCTAGATGTGGTGGTCGCGTCGTTGGAGGGCGCATTGCTGTTGTGGTGCGCTTGGCCTGCGCCCCTGGTCTCGGTAGGCCAGACATGATGACGCTCTGTGTGTGGTGAGCGTACTTGTGCTGGTGGTTAGTATGGCGGGCGTTTGGTGTTGTGTCGAAGCAGCAAAGTAAACAATCGGTAAACACATGTTGCAGGGATCCCGAAGCGTCCAAGCTTAGACTACGCGCCGTCCCTTCACGAACCCCTCGCGCTACGTCAATGCAGACTTCCACTTGCATGTCTTTGTGTCTATTGCGAAAAAGAGGCTGATATTGGGATTTAATCGATTTACAGGCCGTTTAGTCCGGTACTGCTCTGCTATCCTTCACGCCTTTCCGAATCCATGGATTAGGTGTGCTAGAGACGGACCCTGAAGCCCCGCCACCCCTCGTGCATCTACTGTACAATACCTGGACGGCTGCATTTCTACTAGATACACCGCGCTATTGCAGTGCCAAGGCCGTTCATCGCCCCGTGTTCTGCGTTGGGTCTATCCTGTGGGCGTGTCATCTGTCCTCGTGGACAAGGGCACGAGCTCATCCCTATCATCTGTGAGCTAGGTAGCAGCACATCCGCTAGCAAGCCTACTACACTCTCTTCAAACACCTGTATCCTATACATCTCCACAAGGCCCACCATGGAGGATGGAAACATGCAGTTACAGCCAGGTCGCAGCATAGGCTTCATGAGTCTGTTACAACAACCTTTGCGCAGTACCAAGCTGACTGGAACACAGCCCTCGGTTGCTCACTGCACGAAGTACTGACGACCATCAAAGCCGAAGTCAAGACCTTTCCGCGCTTCCAGCTCTACCACGACGACTTCCACCCTATTTCGTCTGCAGTACAAGTCGTCCTCCCTGACAACGGTCTGCGCCTACAGTTCGACGGTCCTGATCAGCGGCTACGCCTTATTGAAGTGCTCGATTTCGCAAAAGCCCGACTGGTATACAAGGATATCGATGTATACAAGCCTGCAGATGGAGGCTTCTCAGCGGGCCCGCCGGGTCCGAGGTTCAGGCATGTCTACGACAAGCTACTAGGACCGACTTATGGCGGAGAGTATGTGCCACCAAAGTCGGAAGATCCAAACGCAATGGGAACATACAACCTATCATATCCAGGCATAGCCTTTAATTTTCCCGTGCAACACTCTGCGTATTCCCCCAAGAAGGACTTCATTTCGCTTCTGTCATCTTCTGCTACCGGTCCGGCAACATCCATGGCCGTCTTCAATGGGGAATCATGGCAGAAGGCTCGTGCGACTCTATTTACTGCTCCTCCCTCGAACCCAAGATCACTGATGCTAGGCAAAGCGAAAGATAGCGGACCAGATGAGATTGAAACAGTCAAGGTACATGGTGAAGGCAGGATAGAGCTCGTGAGACGTTCAAGTCCCCCGTTTTGGATTATTCTTAGCGAGACGACACCCCAAGATCTGATTATGGAACTGGGAGCCCCGGATTCAATCTACCGCAAAAACGACCATCGGCTATCTATCCACAAAGATCGGAGAACAAGTGATGCATCAGATCTTTCTCCTGGTGGTCTCACACCCGATGAAGACTCAGATCCAGGCTCAGCCATAAGGAGCGACGATGAGGATGCATGGGAAGACGATGACGAAGCAGTTCTGGAAGCTCAGGAGCGGGAAATCGCTGCAGCAGAGCACTTCTACAACTACTATCACCACGGCTTCGACATATTGATCTCACAGCCCACGCAGATTTCCCCACCTTCGCCAACTGCTGAAAGGCAAGAGAGTGACGTACAGGACGCAGGAGAACTCAGCGCGCAGCCTCTAAACCATCTCACCGCAACCAAGGTAATATTCCATGGAAATATCCCAGGATCATACCAGTTCAATCGACATCGGAGAAGTAGATGGTCTCTTGAACATGTCCCCTCAGCCATGTACCGCGAGCCGCTTAATTCTGAAATGGGTTTCGGTGATATCTCCGGACGTTTGAAGGAGGTCTTCAAACCGCACTACGAAAACGAGGAGCAAGAGCGATTACAACAGCGCGGTATGGCTCTGAACCGTGGTTGGGGCGACAGTCCCGGGAGCAGCTGCGAACTTCTTGGAGGATGGGAAGACAGTTCAGGAAGAAAGAGCAAATTTGCCAATGCTGGTAGTGTACTCATGGAGGGTGTCACGGACGTGGGTAACGTGGAGTTATTCGGATTTCCTGGCATGGTATTCGAAGTGCTCAAGAATGGGGCTGTGAGCTCTTTGACTGTTTACTGAGAATATATGATATGAATTGGGAATTGAGAGTTGAAAGGCGTTCAGGATACGGGTATTGTATGAATGACAGACGACCATAACAGCTTAGATACCACAAAGATACGTTATTTTTGCCACGTAACTATGAGTAGTTAGCATATTCAAGTAATTGCAAATACACTTGGTACCGCAATGCAACTTATCACCCCACTATCTCCATCTTATCTCCGAACACCTCAACGCCAAAAAAATATCCAGCGCACCACCCGCCCAACTCCCAGCACCAATTCCCTCCCACCCACAATGCTAGTATGCTAACCCCGACGCGTATCCTCCGCGCATCATGGTCCAACACGCTGCGGCTACCAAAATCGAATTTCCCGCCTAGACCGCTCTCCTCTGCGAATCGCGAGTACCTGCGCCGATGCACCGATGAGCTGTATGCCTGGCAGCGGAGCCCCGACCGCATTGTGTACTGCGGACACTCTGAGAAGCAAGGACATGGTCAGAAAGATGGCAGTATAGTGCTAGAAAAGGAGAAAGAGGGATCTGCTATAACAAGTTTTACGCTGCATGATGGACCGCCATACGCAAATGGACCACTGCACATAGGCCATGCGCTGAATAAAATTACAAAAGACGTGATTTGCAGGTTTGAAGTTGGACAGGGGAAAAAGGTGTCGTATATACCTGGTTGGGATTGTCATGGCTTGCCTATTGAAATCAAGGCACTGCAGGCGCAGAAGAAAGATGCAGCGCAGACGGATGCGGTGAGTGTGCGGGAGGCAGCACGGGAGTTAGCAACGCGGACGATTGAAGAGCAGAAGAGCGGGTTCAGGGAGTGGGCGGTTATGGGGGAGTGGGAGAATGCGTATCAGACTATGGAGCGGGGGTTTGAGTTGAGGCAGCTCGAGGTGTTCAAGGTTATGTTTGAGAAGGGCTTGGTCTATAGGCAGTTTAAGCCTGTGTATTGGAGTCCAAGCTCGCGGACTGCGCTGGCGGAGGCGGAGTTGGAGTATGATGAGGGGTATAAGAGTTTGGCGGCTTTTGTGCGGTATCCCGTGAAGTTGTCAGAAGCACTTAAAGCTGGAGCGCTGAGGGATGTTGAAGAGGAAGTCAGCGTGGTAATTTGGACGACCACACCCTGGACTCTACCAGCAAACAAAGCTATTGCGGTACACCGGGATATGCAATATTGCATTGTCAAAGATGCAGGCAATAACAACGAACTAATCCTCATCGCCACTTCAAGAATACCCGAGTACGAAAAGATTCTCGAGCGCAAACTGCAAATCATTGTGTCAGAGCTCCGCGGCTCAGATCTCGCCGATCAAGTCCAATACGAAAATCCGTTCCAAAAGGCCTCCGGACTCCAACCCATCATCCACGCAGACTTCGTCACAGACTCGTCAGGTACAGGTCTTGTCCACCTTGCCCCGGGCCACGGCATGGACGACTACAACGTCTGCATGCCCCTCGGTATCCCAGCATTTGCTCCTGTAGACGACGCCGGCGCCTTGACCAAGGATGCGTTTCCCGAGCAGCCCGACCTACTGGAGGGTCTACCAGTCACCGATATCAAGAAATCTGGTAGCAATGCCGTGTGCAACTACCTGCAGAAACTGGGTTTGCTGCGTGCAAAACAGAATTATCGGCACAAGTACCCGATTGACTGGAGGACCAAGGAGCCCGTCATCACGCGAGCGACAGAGCAGTGGTTTGCAAACGTCGAAGGGATCAAGGATGCTTCGATGAAGGCAATTGCAAATGTTGCCTTCAAACCTGAGTCTGGGCGGAGTCGTTTGGAGAGCTTCATCCAAGGTCGGAGTCAATGGTGCATTTCGCGGCAGCGCGCTTGGGGTGTGCCTATACCTGCTTTGTACAAGGTAGAGGGCGATACGCTCGAAGCGACCATGGATTCCAAGGTCATCGAACATATTGTTCAAGTCATCAAAAAGCGTGGCATCAATGCATGGTGGACCGATGCGCCAGACGATCCAGCGTGGAAGCCCTCGCACCTCAACGGCACATATGTACGTGGCAGGGACACGATGGACGTATGGTTCGACAGCGGAACAAGCTGGACTCTTTTGCCTCCGCAAAAAGACGAACCGGTAGCCGATGTATACCTCGAAGGCACTGATCAGCACCGCGGCTGGTTCCAATCCTCGCTCCTCACCCACGTCGCTACGCAACCCTATTCAACCGCCACAGTCAAAGCACCGTACAAAACGCTCATCACCCACGGCTTCACCCTCGACTCGGACGGCCGCAAAATGAGCAAGTCCCTCGGCAACGTCATCTCCCCCTTCCAGATCATGTCCGGTGAACTGCTCCCCCCCGTGAAGCGCAAGAAGCAAAAGGGTGTAAAGCAAGACGCAGCGACTAAACACACACCGACGTACGACTCCATGGGCGCCGACGCACTGCGCCTCTGGGCTGCAAGCAGCGACTACACGCGCGACGTCACCATCGGCCAGCCGCTCCTCATGTCTGTGAACCAAGCTCTGCACAAGTACCGCGTCACCTTTAAATGGCTCCTCGGCATCTTCTCTCTCCCCTCGTGTCCTCCACCCTTTGTGTCCTTCAACAGCCTCGTCCCATCCACAAGCGACTTCGGCGAACTCACAGATCGACTCGCGGTCCATCGCCTAGTGCAGGTAAGCAGCGAAGCACATGCTCATTTTGCCAAATACGACTTCTTCAAGGGCCTCAACACGCTGAACAAGTACATCGCCATGGACCTCAGCGCTTTCTACTTTGAGACGCTCAAGGATAGAGTGTACACGGGGGATACGTCGGATTGCCAGACGCTACAGCGCGTTTTGGGCTTGATTTTCTACGAGCTACTGCAGATGCTGGCACCCGTGTGTCCGCTGCTTGTCGAGGAAGTATGGGATCATGTCCCTACTGCCCTAAAAGACAAGAGTATTCATCCTGCACGCGCAACGTGGGCGCGTCTTGCGCCGCTGCCACAGTCTGAAGCCGAGAGCCTGGAACGAATGAGCGAGGTGGTGGGGACGCTGGGTGGTGCGATTAAGATTGCGCAAGAGAGGGTTCGGGCGGAGAAGAAGATTGGGTCGAGTTTGGAGTGTGCGGCGACTGTTTACCTGCCTGCGTCTAGCATTGAGATGTTTTGTGAGGCGTTCGCGAATGCCATGCGTCCGCTGCGTCTCAAGGCTGAAGACATGGAGAATCAATTGGCAGGATTGTTTGTCATTAGCGAGGTGAGGATACGCGTTCTCTCTGATACTTTGTCTAGGGCCTCTTTAAGTGGGCAGCTCGGCTTTGTGGCGGAAGATGCGGAGCAGATGAAGCGGCAATGGGCGTGGGTGGAAGAGGAAGCTGTGGCGGCCAGTGGAGACCAAGGCAGTGATTTGCTCGCAAAGGCACGAGTGCTGGTGCATCCCCCCAGTCAGGAAAAGTGTCCGAGATGCTGGCGCTTTGTCAAGGAAGAAGCAGAGGATGTGTGTGGCAGGTGTGCGCATGTTGTGGGGAAACAGGGCGGGATTTAAAGATGCTGTTACTGTGAAGTACAGCATGGCTATCGGGTTTGTATAACACATGTATATGTATGATGGTGATGAATCAAGAAACCGTGCGCTCCTTTCTTTCAGTGAGTACTCAGCTCATTCACGTATGTAGATATTTTTATGTTTATTCCCGTAAACTGACAAGATTTGCCTTTCCAGTTGGGAAATGATGACCACGATAGTTCTTCTAGGCGCGCTCGGCATACAGGATATGCCTCGTATGGAGCCCGACAGAAAAGGGCACACGGCCTGCTCGCGATAGGAGTCAGAGGCTTACCCAAAGGTTTTGGATGTGGTAGTTTTATCGAGTCAGCATCCTCAAGTCTGTGCCGGGACATATTCCCTGTCCAACTAGCAGATGGTCTTGCCCCCCCACATAGTACGTGGTCAGGATAGCTTAGAAGCTTTGCTGACCTACAAACGCGTCACTGTGCTTCGTTGTGTGAGAATGTAGGTTCACGACAGAGCTCTTAAGGCCAGTTAGTTGTGTTGAGAGTTGAAGTTGCAGAAAGGGCTGGAGACGATAATGGCCCACGCCCAAGTTAGTTGTTTGGCCCCCATGTAATATTAAGCCACATCCTTGGGGCGGGCTTCCAGTGCAGAAGGTTCGGAAGGTAACCCGAACCCAGCTGAGTGTTTACTCATCTACCCTCCCTGCCAAGGCTATTTTTCGTTTGAGGGAACCAGTAAGAGGAGCGGGTGAGCGAACGATAGAAACAGTATTTGGAAATGCAAAAGCCCCTAGCGTTGTGTGACATTGGGCTGCGTTGTCGTGTGCTGACTATGGCGAGTTTGTGTATTATAGGCGACTAGCGTAGGGCATTGCAGTATAGACGACATTGACGCAGGGCCAGGGATAGCTTACACTGGACGGTGGCTAAGCATTCGGCAGTTGGCATCCGTAGCTAGGCGGGAGTTGCCAGATTACGCGGATACGAGGCAAAGGTAAATCGCCAAAGCAAGTTTTGATCTGACTTTGGTCTAGAAGCGGGTGTTAGTGAGAGGCTCCGTCGAGACGCGATTGCTCGATTTAGGAAGGATTTGGGCCATTGGTCCAATCCGAGAGCTACTGCGGTGTTATTATCTGAAATAGAAGTAGCCTCATATCCACATTGTTAGCCACGATTGTGCTATCTGTTCGGTGCTGATTGGCTTGGTGGCAGCCATGGAGTTCCAGTTACATGGTCACAGCAATATGCTAATCAATATGGAATCCACAATTGGGCGTCATTTGGGATGTGAGGGCGACGAGGGAGAATTGAGCCGATGGGCGGAGGATAGGCGGAGGAAGGATGGTTGCCGGGAAGAGCTTGGCGCGGGGATGGGCTGAATCGTGCAGCAGACGGGACGAGAGCCTGGATGGTGGCCGTGAAGCAGTTCATGGCTGTTGCAGGTGCAGGCGTTGACCCCGGATTTCAGCTGACCAAGATGTGCGATCAGCAGCCTTGTCAAGGTCTTATCTCGTCAGCTAGCGATGCGGGCAAGGGTCAGCATGAAGGTGAGGCCAAGAAGGCGGGCAGGGTTGAAAGGGATGTGGACAAATTGGGGCGGAGAACGCGGAGTCTGGCTGTTCGCCGCTGGTTGCAGTGAGTGGAGTGAGCAGAGTGACCTCACAGTACAGTGTCAGTGTGGTGGGCACGGGCCTAGCGCTGCTTACGTGTAGTGTAGCGAGGCCGAGGCTTCGGCAGGCAGCAGTACACATGCCGATCTGGTGGCTAGACCAGCGCGCTAGGTTGTGTGGGAGAAGGGCAAGGCTGTCAGAAGAGCATGCCGATGTCTATCTACTTGTAGGTAGTGGCTGGAATGTCCATGCTAAGTTGATGCGCATTTGCCGCGCCATAGACTACATGCATGTGAAGTAAGCAGGGAGGCAGATTGATTGCAAAAGGCGCCATGTGCCGTGTGTCTAGTACACTATTTGAAGAGGGGGCAGGCTGTCGAGCTAGGAGCAGCTGGGAAGCGGGAGATGGAAGCAGCAGTTGGGACTGGGGGCTCACGATCAGCCGTCGTTGATCAGCAAGCATCTTTCGCCTGCAATAGCGGACCGAACAGGGGGCCCAACAGTTGGACCCACAAGCGACAGAGGGAGTGTTCGCCGTCGCCACTTCCAGAAGCTTTCTCTGGCTGGGATGCTGGCGGGAGATGACGACGGCTGTGTGGCGACAAACGGTGGGGATGTGTCAGACGAAGCGCACAACTGGAGGGGTGGCAGAGGCAGAAGCTGAGGCAGGCAGAGGTTGAGGCACACGGGCTGCCAGCGCACCTGGAGGAGAGAGTACTAGGGGAGAGGAAGGGAGGGTAGGACAGGACAGGGCAGGGCAGGGCAGGACGGGGGCTAGCGGGGGGAGCGAGGTGGCAGGCGGAGGCAGCAGGCAGGAGTCGTAGCAGGTAGAGAGCAGCAGGCGTAGGTAAATGTATGCACAGCACTGTGTGCCGCATGGTGGAGGGAGGATACGAGGCCCACGGACGGTGGACCAGCCGTGGGAAGCGTTTCAGGACGGAGCCCGTCCTGCAGCCAAGCTTGCGCAAGCGGCTCTGGCGCACACAGACACACACACACAGAGACAAGGGACGAGCGCGCGAACCGGCGGCGATGCACTGCACGGCGACTGGCTGGGCGGGTTGCATGTTGGGCAGGGCAGGGCGGGCTGAGACGAGACGCTGGGGAATTATTGGAATGGGGGATGGGGGATGGGATAGGATGGGATGGATGGATGGGGAATATTGGACGGGGGCGGACGAGCTCTGAGCTCTGGGGCGAGCGAGGGCAGGGCTGGCATGGGCTGGCAATGACGCGGCGGAGCATTTGGCGGACCGACAAGCTTCCAGAAGGCTTAGGTGCTTCGACAGCGGTGCTGTTGAAGGCGCGGGTGGGGACTTGCCCACTGCAGACTGGCGCACTGGCGCGCCCTGCTCGTTCCGTCTCGAGTAACCCAATCACCGCGCCACGCCTGCATCAATCCTCTCCTCGCTCTGCCCTTGCACCCTCTCCCACGCCCACGCCCATATACCACCCTCACCATCCTCCCGCAACCACCCATGCCGCTCCCACTGCAGCCCCTTCTGCGAGTGCGCTGCATGCGACACTGACGCCCACCACCACAACCCCCTGCGTCGCCTCTTGCGCCTGCTGTAGCGACCTCGCTGACACGCCTAAGCAGCCCTTTCCCGTCCACACGACCACGTCCTAAACACCTCTGCCCTACTGTCCTACCACCACTAGTCCTGCCACTACTACCACCACCAACACCATCACCACCACTACTACTACTACTACCACTACTACTACCACCACCACCACAACAACAACAACACCCACAGCCACAACCACCCTCGTTTCCACCCGCCCACGACGCCGCTCTTCGTGTCCGCTGCTCCCACTTTTGCATACTTTCTGTTCCGACGCGCTTGCTCCACGTCTGCCTTCGTTCTGCCCGCTCTCGCTCCCACAGACGAGACGAGACTGACTGCTAGGCACCGCCCGAGCCGCCTCCTCCGCGCCTTTCTGCCATCGGCGCCTGTCTTACTCATTCTCGCATTCACCATCAGCGCCTTCCTTGTCCTGTTGTAAACAGTTACCCAGTCCCCGTGTCGTGTGCGCTCCCTGCCGCTCGCGACTCCGCTAGCATCCCTGGGGCTTCCCATCGACGTCGCCGTTTCAGACTGTATCTCGGACCACCAGGCGCATTGCCACCATCTCGTTTGTCTAATCCCCCACGCTGCTAGACCTGTTGCATCGTTTGCATCCGTCCTACGCTCACTGTCTTGCGACCACGACGCTGTCCCCTCCCCCCCAACTTTTCCACCTCAACCCACCACCCCCCTCTGCAACCCATTTTGCGACATCACCATCTCGCCCTCCCCTCTGCGCTGGAGACCAGTGCTGGCTGGTCGCCGCACACAGGCGGAGAAAATGGACCATGGCGCGTGCAACGTAGTCTACATTGACCGACGGGCCAACGACGAGCATGTGCGCAAAGAGAACCTGTCCAAGTCGCTTGTCGCCCGGACGAGCACTGGAAATGTGGGCCAGAGCTACTTTGCCATGGGCAAGACGTCTCCGCGTGAGGTCCACGACAATGTCGAAGCCATGCTGTCCATCTCCACCGAAGGTACGACGAGCGCAATTCGCCCAACATCGTCATGACTCCTACTAACAACCTCGTCCAGTACACATCTGCAGCACAGGCCGGGCCTGTCTCCAGAAGATCAATCAACTCATTGATGACACCAAGACCGCCATCCCTACCTTTGTCATAATAGATATTCCCTTTGATGAAGAGCAGCGCATGAAACGCCTATCTCGCGAACCACGCACGCCCTCGCCCACGTCGTCGCGCATGAACCGCATGGACACTACCGAACCAGACGACATCTACGCCATGCACCTGCTCACTCACATCGCTTCTGAGATATCGTCCCGCAATTTCTCCAAACTCGTCGTGCCAGTAGTCATGCTGTCGGGAGTCACTCTGGACGAACCATCGACATCGGGTCCGCTCCCTTCGCCTGGTCTCCACATGTCGTTTCCGCTTGGTGATACCGTCCGATTAACGCGTTATCTCGATGCCGGCGCTGTCGACGTGCTGACTAGTCCCATGTCACGAGAACGTATGCTTGGCTTGGCTGTCCACGCTTATCGGTTACAAAAAGAGTTCAACCGGGAAGAAGCAAGTTTTTTGACCACTAAGCGCAATCGGAAGCTGTCTTGGGTCGGCGTCGACGATGCGAAACCGTATGCTTATCTGCGCGAGGCCATGGTCTCAAATCTGATGACTGGCATTTGCAATCCGGAAACCGTGGGAGATTCTCTCGACTCCATGTGCGTATTCGCTGCGGCATAAAGGTATATGGCTAATAATCCTAGGGACTTTCATCTCGACTACGACCGCAAGATACTCGTTGAAAACGCAGTGGGCGTCTGGGCATTTTCGGCTCATGATTTTACTGACGATGAGCTGCTTTATGGCGCTTTGGTAATGCTCAAGCATGCGCTGCAGATGCCCGAGCTGGAGCGATGGGCAATCACCGAAGGCACGTGCATTTGCATTTCACTGTGCCGTTTTTTCCTGCTAACGGGTTGCTAGACGAGATGATTGTCTTTCTCTTGGCCAGTCGTACGGCATATAACGAGTTCGTCAAGTACCACAACTTCCGCCATGTTGTCGATGTCCTCCAGGCTCTTTTCCACTTCCTCGTCCGAATAGGTACCCTGCCTATGTATCCACCCGACGCACGCAACGTATCTGCCCCCAAGTCGCCGATAGCCTCACTTCTCAAGCCGTTCGATGCCCTCACGCTGCTGATTTCCGCCATTGGGCACGATGTTGGCCACCCCGGTGTCAATAACGCGTTCTTAGTTGCATTAAATGCACCGTTGGCGCAACTTTACAACGACCGTTCCGTCCTGGAATCATTTCATTGCGCCGCTTATTCGCAGATTCTACGGCGATACTGGCCAAGTGCATTCTCCGACACCGCAATGCGCAAGCTAATGATCAACAACATTCTTGCAACCGACATGGGTCTCCATTTCAAGTACATGAGCGATTTGGGCAACCTGCAACAAAAAGTCGCTCACGACCAAGGAGCTGTGGACGGGTGGAGTGCCAAGGTTCAAGAAGAGCAAAAAGATCTGACCTGCGGTTTGCTCATAAAATGTGCCGATATTTGCAATGTGGTGAGTTTTCTTTTCTGGAACGCATGCTTGTAACCCATCCTAATCTAGGTTCTGTAGGCACGAAAATTCCCAACCGCTGCTAAATGGGCCAATATCCTTACAGACGAATTCAGCAATCAAGGACTCATGGAAGCCGAACTCGAGATGCCTTCATGTCTTTTTGGAGGGCCACCTGTGCGCGAAGACATTGTTAAGCTCGCTGAGTCGCAAATCGGGTTCATGAACATATTTGCCAGGCCACTATTCGAAGCCGTCACGGACATTCTACCCGCCATGCAATTCGTTGTAGACGAGATTCTGACCAACAAGGCTATTTGGGAAAATAGAATAGACGAGGAGCGCCGAAAGAAGAGGAAGAACAAGAATATGAACCTTGGTCTACTGACATCAGGGTTTTCTGTCGATCCAACCCCGAGCCCACTTTCAGGAGGACCAAACAAGTCGCCCTTGAAGATACCCCTGAGCGCGATCAAGACCATTTCTCCTGAAGAAGCGGCTCGCCGAGGATCGACTGGCTCAATACAAGCTGTAGCTGCGGCATCCGACTCAAGAAGATCATCCATCATCGACAGGAGCTCACGGCGGTCGTCTACTACCCCTGTACCAGGCCAAAGACCCATGGGCTCTAGCGAAAATGTGACCTCATCCAGAAGGGGCAGTCGGGACCCAAGTCTTACAGCGATTTTGGTCACCCAGACTCCAAACGCATCCGACCAAGCCACAAAGGGGCAGGGTACAGGTCCCGATGATCGCTCCAGAACGGATCGCAAGGACACATTGACAAGACCTTCTTCAATGATCAAGGATAGAGATAGTCCCAGACCTGTCACCGCTCCATCGCATGCCAGGCGCAGTCAAGGTGAGTTTGAAAGTTGATTTAAATCCTACAAAACCGTTGAAACTAACATTGAAAAGCTCTCGATCCTTATCCAATAAAACAACCATCGCCTCAGAGCCACTCCCAGGTTGATCTGTCTCATAGTGAGAATGGAAACCTCGATGGCTCAAAGCTTCAGCCCTGGGACACTAACAATAAGCTGAGCGCAGATGGCAACGCAGCCCGTTCCGACGTCTCGCGCGACTCCAGCTGGTGGCGACAAATGGGTTCACGACGACGTACTCGCGACGGGAGGAATGGCGAAATGGAAGCGCGAACTCATGTCAAGGAATCTACACCAGAGTCTCTGGTCCCTCCAAACGCCGATTCGCCCACCGTGTCCCCCACCTGTTCGAGCCCCGGCCGGAAAACTACAACAACGGGCAAGATCATGAGCTTTTTCAAACGAAAGCCAAACAGCCAAAGGGAGCAGGCAGAGAAGCAGTTGTCTAGTTTTGGCAGTTCTTCACAGTTGCGAACCCCACAGACCAGCGACCCAGGCCGATCACTCAACAGCGATGATTGATTTCAGCATTCCTTTTCTACGCCTCTATTGACCTTACATTAATGACAAACGCCGCATCCGAACCACGGTATTTCCTTTAGTCTCAACATACCATTTCAAAAGCAGTTCTTGGTCTCTGCAGCACTTGCTTTCGGGTTTTCTTCATCTCTGGCAATTGCGGGCTATGATACCTCTTACACGCGATGTGGCAGGTGCCAGCAATAAGTATGGATAACACCACTTGTTTCTGGCCTTCCCTTGGTCTACCTTCAGGTGTTTTCTGGTGGATCCATCGTCCACGTTCTGATTCGGCGCGCGCATTCCTGGCACAGCATCTTTCAAGCTTGTCTTTCCCGCACCTTCACTCGTCTCGTTTCACTTTGTATGCTCCTTTGTCAATTATCTTCATCTTGGTGTGCGGCGCTTTAGCTGAGCAGCATGCATTATTCGAGGCAGCAGCCTTTTTTTTTCCTTCCCTTTCTTTTCTTTTTCCAAGCCTTCATATTGAGGGAGGACTAGTCGTGTTGTTCTATCGGCGGCAAGAAAAGGTCGCATATGTTTACGCGGCTTCCTTGTTTTTACGAGTAGAAGATATCAGGCATGGGTCAGCATTAGGGCTGACAAAAGAACGATGTTGTTGCAGCAGTCGGAATGGTAGAACTGGGACGGGGGCACCCGAATCGGCTCCTTCCTTACCTCCTCTGGGAGAAGGTGCTATGTCTACTATCCTAAGCTCATTAGTATCGCTCAGCGAAATGACGATAAACTCTCTGTAATGAAATGTATATTCTCAATGTCTCAACTCATACACTTTGCATACTGCGTGGCTGGTTGTCTGTGACAAAAGGACGAACGAGTCTTGCAACATTTCATGCCAATTAAACGAATACGAGAAATCGTATTCGCATCTTACATACGACAACGCATCGGCGGACACCGATGATGTCCTTTATCGTGGTCACGAGCTACTGTCACAAAAGTGGTCCTTGTAAGTCTTAGCTACCTATTTCAGGCTAGCGCATCTAGCATAGTCCGGCGCTAAACCCCACTTGCTACCTTAACAACACCACCCCTCAACTCCAGCTTCGCATTGACCGCTCATCTTCTCTCATAAACTTCATCACAACCATGGATGACAAAGTAAAGTATCTTCTATCGCTAAGTGCGGTGCGGGACCGTTCAAAGATTGTTGGAGAGGCAGCCGCAGCTGGAAAGCTGAGTCATTTTGATGTACACGAAGAGCGATTGGGCGAGGCTGCGGATTATGTGACATCTGTCATCAAGGTTTGTTTGAAGAATCCGTGAATTTGTATTTACTGTGATTGCTGATGTTATATATCTAAAGCGCGATTATGGCCCAGACAAGTTCCATACTATTCCCCCGCACGGCCGATGGCAGCATTTTGAAGTCGGCAACGTTCCCCGTATATCCAAGCTACTTGAGGAATGGAAAAAGGACGGGTCCGACGATTTGGAGGTTACACGCCGACTAATTGATTTGTTTTTTGTTTCGGTATTGCTGGATGCTGGAGCGGGTGACCACTGGCGATATGTGGAACCAGGGACGGAGCGCGAGTATGAACGCAGTGAGGGAATTGCAGTTGCCAGTCTGTACATGTTCAAGAGCTTGAGTTTTGCGGCTGCCAAAAATGAGAAGCAGCCAATTGTGGATGGTAAGTATCAGGTCCTGCACTGGGCTACTCATCATGAAATGACTGACTGTTTCGTGTACAGGAAGAGGCCTGCAAGACTTGAAGACAGAAGAACTCGCAAATGGCTTCCAGATTACAGACAAGAACCCAATGTTAGGTGTCGAATCTCGTGCCAATCTCCTTCGTAGCCTTGGAAAATCACTCTTATCCCACCCTGAGGTCTTTGGCCAAGAAGGTCGTCCCGGAAATGTTGTCGGTGCGTATTATTCTCTGCTTACTACATCTCCTATTATGCTCACCAACCACAATACAGATTTCATGAAGAAAAACTCTTCCGACTCCTCAACCTTGGACGTACTTGTATTCTGGGACATTCTCCAGAAGCTGCTCATTCCCATCTGGCCACAAGACCGTACAAATGTCAGCGGTCAACCTCTTGGCGACGCGTGGCCCCTGTCTACCCTGAAGACCCAATCATCTTCCTCAAGTGCTGATGAAACCGAGTTCATTCAGCCGTTCCACAAACTAACCCAGTGGCTTGCTTACTCTCTCATGGTGCCATTCACACGTATTCTCTCACTACAGTGGAAGAACGCGTCTTCGCTTACTGCTCTGCCTGAGTACCGCAACGGCGGTCTATTCGTTGATCTCGGAGTCTTGACACTTAAGCCCGCTTCCCTCGAGCGCGGCATTAAGGCTTCCTCCGATGGCACTGGACTTCCAGCTTTTAGCGCAGGCGACGATGTCATTGTCGAGTGGCGCGCCATGACTCTGGTCTTGGTCGACAAGCTGTACAAGCTAGTGCTGCAGCGCATGGAGGGAGTGGATCTTAGCATGGCGCAGTTGCTGGAAGCCGGCACGTGGAAGTCTGGCAGAGAGGTTGCCAAGGAGAAGAGGCCTAAGACAAAGAGTAGCCCGATTATCATCCTAAGTGATGGTACCGTGTTTTAGTAGTGAGGCTCTAAGAACTGAAAAATTGAAGTCTTGAATGTGAAATTCCACTACTAAGTGCCATTGAAAATAGTAATCCTCACTTACCATCATTTTCTTCGCCTTCTTCCATCCAAGACCAAAGTCCCTGAGATTTACAGATTATAAAAAAACGTCGAGCTCCACACAAAAATATCCTACACACACTGGTAAACGAGATTGAACGTAGCAAAGAAGAAAAAAAGGGAGGTTTTCAGCATCTGCTCTCTTTCCCACCTCACCTCCGCCTCTCCGCCCTCTGTGCATCCATCTCCCCCCTCCTTTCCGCCATATCATCCAAAATCTCAATAAACCCCAGCCCCTGCGGCGCCCGGCCTCTACTCCCCCTCTGATTCCTCACCCTCTGCTCCTCTTCCACCACCTCACCCCCCGCCTCACCAACAGTCTGCTCCCGCCACACCGGCATAACCCTGGCCCCCTCCCCCCGCGGCTCCCCAATCGCAACCCCGATCCCCTCCTCCCTGCTGCCCACCCCACCAACCGCATTATCCTCGTGCGGATGCTCATACTGCGTCGCCAACTCCATCTTCTCTTTATTGTCATCCCAGCTCCACTTCCTAGTCGCAGGACTAACGCCTATACTGCCGCTCAGCTCGGGGCTCGCGGGGTCGCCCGAGTCGAGCTCGTTGCGGGGTTCGTCGCCTGAGAGCTCCGAGGGTCCGCGCGCGTGGCTGTACATGCTTTTGTGGGTGCGGAACTGGGCGGGGGTTTGGGGGGTTTGGGGTGTGGAAAGGGGGAGCTCTTGCGGGGTGGTGTAGTTGTGGGCTGCTACGGAGGGGTCGTAATTGTGCTGGTAGGTGTGGGTAGAAGGGGGGTAGAAGCCGTTTGGGTGGTTGGGGTTGGGCGAGGTGTATGAGGGGGGTGCTGTGTGGGTTGTTTTGTTAGTATTGGATCTACATTTTGGACGAAGTGAAGAATGTTCGACTTACATTCGGAACTTTGGTTACGGTAGTGCTTGTTATGGAACTCGCTCACGCCGTTGACTGGTAATCCGTCTCCGTTTATTTCTCCATAGTGCTCGGCTGCTTTTGCTTTTGCCTTCTTCTTCCTTCGTAGACATAAGCACCATACGATGATACCGATTATAGCTGCTATGGCGAATGCGCCGCCTGCTGCGCCGCCTGCTATGGCCCCTACTGGTACCCCATCATCCGATTTATTTGCTGCAGCAGATGGACCTGAGGTGCTAGAGGTTGTTGCAGACCCGGTAGCATGATATGCACTGCGCAGGTCATCACGGTTCAAGATTGCGGGTTCGAGATCACCGTCGGGACAGCCAGATTGGGCACATGGATTCGTTTTGCAGCAGCCCCAAAATGTTTCTAGTGCAAGTCAGTCATCGCCATGGCGTGCGGGAAAGAAGACCGATACCAAGATCGGTTGATCATCTCAAGTACTTACGTCCTGCAGAGCAAGTATAAAACTTGCTTCCAGTCCCACATGTAGCATCGGGAAATGTGCCATATGCTTTTGGATCGAAAGCACCTGGGTAAAGGTTGCCTTGGGCGCAAGTAATGTCGCATGGGTCTCTTGCGCAGCAGCCGACAAAGTATCTACCGTGATATTAGACGTCAGAGAATGGAAGTAGAGATGAAACATGGACAATCCACTTACGTTCCATACCCGCAGGCCCACCAGGTTCCTCCCGCAGGACACGAAGGCGAGAAGGCCTGTCGCGCGGCAAGGTAGGCCGACATATTATACTAACAACCGACTCCGCGGTCGCAACTAGAGTATCCGCTATCACTTGCGTGGACTCGAAACCCTCCACTCACAATCACGTCAATAGCAACAAAACAATACCGTCACTCGAAAAAAGAGCGAACAGGAAAAAGGTACCGATTAGACAGAGAGAGAAAGAAGTCAGACGCAAGAGACCGCAAGAAAGTATGGCTGGCCGGGTCTCACAACCGAGAGAAAATCAGGCGACCAGACCTACTGCCCATGTATCTCAGCGGAAGGAAGCTGGGAAGGGAAAAGAACGAGGGAATCACGTCAAGAAAAAAAACACGAGAGCTGATCGAGACCCCCCCCCCCCAAGAGGCCATAATAGCCGCAGCGAAACAAAGCCGCAGCAACTATGCAAAGCGCGGGCTCAGCCTGTGTGCCCAGCTCCTACTATCTACGCTTTCTCTTCCTTCGCTTCTTCAGCAGAACCCAAAGCGGAAACTAACGCCTTAATCTTGCGCGCGCAGCCACACCTTCATACATACACACTACAAAGAAAACAAAACGGCGGTATGTCTCGCGCCGGACAAGAGCGGGGAAAGGTCGCAAACCAGCACACGCAGAGAGAGCGAGCGAGCACATGCCGTACATGTCAAGTACGCCATCCACGCAGCCCAGCCTCTCCCATCGCACCCGCAAGGAACAAGGCCAACGAGAAGATAAACCTAGGCACATTTGGCGTGCAGGATAACCTCAGCACTAACGTCGAAGGATGCAGCCGCTCATTCGTGCGATGCTCAGCGGAACAACCACCTTTTTTTGGGGGCTGGAAAAAAAAGAGAGCGGCATGCCAAGCTGCATATCTCGCACATGTGCGCGGGGAACAAAGGCGAAGAAAGAGACGGGAACTTTGCGCATTTTTGGAAGAGAAAGTATATATGTAATAGGTGGGTAGCAAAAGCAAAAAGTATTGATTGTGGGAAAAAGAGTGGGAGGGCCGCTTGAAGCTCTTTCTCAGGTGGGTTGGGTGAGATTGGGAGTGGAAGCATACCCCGCATTGGGTGTTAGTGCTGCTGTAGGTGGCGGCGCAGTCAGGTGGCACAATTACGTAGAAAGGCTGACGGGCGTCTATTCCTGGCGGTTTTGAGAGGTTGATGGGAGGGGAGGTGGGAGTCGGAGGTTACATCATTTGTTGGTTGCAACTGCCCGAGGACAGCCTTATCTTATATTACCAAGACTCTCTCTTTTTCGGCAGCCGGGTATTCTGGATTAGTTAGGCTCAAGGGGGTAGAAAGGAGGAGTTGCAGTATTAAGTACATGTGCATATGTATGGATCTTTCTGGATTCTTGGGATTACTATTTCTGTTGTTTTAGACTGGGTATATATACAGGTAGATGGAAGCTAAATAAGTAAGGGTATGCGAGGATGAAAAACCACCCAAACGCGAATAGAACAATGCGGATAAATGTTAATGCACCGAATCCCAGCTAAATCGCTCCTTACAATCACTCTTCTCATGGTTGACCAGTCGAAACACCAAGCCCTTGACGGCTAGCTCGTTTCGCCATGTCGCCGGAGAATTCTTGTTGCGTAGGCAGTGGAGAAACGAATGGAGTGGCGTGTGGTGACTCGAGTTCTGAAGGGCCAGGGCGGGCTGTGGCATTTGCGGGGAGTTCTGAGAATCGTCGGTTGTCCATGACATTTGAAGCGCCGGCTGGAAGCTCAGAGAATCTGTTATGGGACGAGGAAGAATCCGCAGGGAGCTCTTGTGGCTCGGTTGCGTGGCTGGCGTACTGATGGTACGACTCATGTCCCTTGCCGGGTGAAGTGGCCTGGTAAGAATTCTGGATTGGAGCCGAGTATGTAGGAGGTGCTGCTCTCAAAGTTAGCTGGTGAAGCAGGGCGAGAAGCGAGTGAGTCGACATACGTGATTGACCTGCGTAATGCCCTGCGGCAGCACTGTGGTCGTTCTTCTCATTGTTGTTCATCATGGGCATCATGGTGGCAGCACCCATGTCGCCCTTTGTTGTCTTCTTGTTCTTCCTTTTACGGAGCACAATGAAGATGATGATTCCGATAATGGCCAAGACTACGACTCCTCCGACAACACCACCAACAATAGCGCCCGTGTTACTCTTGCCTGAATCTGAAGGGTTCTCCTTTTTTTCCTGTGATACGTATGTGTTGAATTGCTCTGGTCGCTCCATGAATGCAGGTACCAAGTCTCCTTGCGCACATGTTGCTGGTGGGGTTGCAGCGCAGGGATTCGTCTTGCAGCATCCCCAGAAACTGTCGCCTGCACTACATGTGAAGAAGTCACTAGCACTTCCGCAGGATGCATCAGGCCATTCACCATGGTGGGAGATATTGTAGCCGCCGGGTCGAATATTCCCTTGCACGCAACCTTTCGAGCATGGGTCCGACGTGCAGCATCCTACGAAATTACTTCCACTGGCACAGGCATACCTGGAGTTTGTCAGTGTCAAAGTTTCTATCAAAGTTGAGCTCAGTTATTACCATTTACCCCCGAGTGGGCAGTGAAAGTCGAAAAAGGACGCATTAGACATGATAGGCGCACAAAGTATAATACAGAATGTGCCCTTGGTATGCGCCGACTGCGCTTATGTTTATTGATGTGTACTAAGTGGAAACAAAGAGAAGAAATTACGGCCAAAGCGACAGCAAGCACAACAGGGAGATGGTCGATGTGATAAAGAATAGGACGAAGCAGGTGATTCAAAGAGGAACAGCACACGGAAGATGTGGGCCCCCTCAAGTATCCAGGCATGCAGAGTGAACGCCTGAACGGGGCGTACTTTCGTCTGCACGGCCTTGGAAAGGCGCCGATTGCGCCACGCACCAACCGAAGCCTGCGCATGACCTAATGTAGGCTAAATGTCTCTTTTCTCCATGGTGGCTGGTAGGGACTGTGATATTTTGGTATTTTGTGAGAAGCTTGGCCGCGTAGTTGATGCTGAAAGCTGAGAGAAAGCAGCCGAAGGAGCAACATCCCTGGTAACCGACCCGTACCTCGAGGCAATAGATGATCTGGGCAACTGAGCCTCAGCACAGCCCTTTTTTCCCTATTTCAGAGACAACACCACAGGTAGACAAGGGAAAGTCTAGGCGATGCCCCAGTTTACTGTACGCCTGAGGCGCCTGCTCGGAACAAAGGACCACTAAACAGTAGCTCATTGTCTTTCTTCCTTCTCTTTGCTATACACCTACATGCATTGACACTTGTCTCGGCACCAGCCAGGCGAAGATATGCAGTGTTGGGGGCTAATGGGCGGGTGGAGACGACATGTCATTTAGTGGCGTTCTTAATCGAAATGACAACGAAGATATGTCTTGGGAGGAAGGGGGCCGTTTCTCAACAGCCATACGGGCTATACCCACAACCGCCCCGCCCTATGTCAGCACAAACCAATGTTACCCCGAGGGGGGTTTTGGGAAATAAGGCTGAATGCATCAGGAGAATCGCCACTCAGAGAGCAATGTCGGCGAGTGCAGATGGGATAGCTAGTACCTCCGCCGATGTAGCGGTCAATATGGGCTGTGTGTTCAGCCGCAGTGAGCTCTTGGCAGTCGTGATGCGCAGCTAAAGTGTCTAGACAATCCACGGCTGAGGCGGTAAGGCGCCGGTATTCTTCGAAGCCCGCATTTGGGCAGAATCACAAGACTATTGAAATCTCGGGCCATGCCATTGTGGGCTTGGATGCGCAGAAATCACAGATGGCTGGCATTGCGAAGCCTCTTAAACCCATCTGTGCTGAAATGGTGCGCTTTGCTCCTTTAGCAGCTCCCACTGTCATGACCGAGCGACGCGCCCAAAACACAGCCCACGACGAAGACAGATTTATGCGAACAACAGACTGACTAGATGCGACTTTCTGGCGATGCGATCGACATTGACCACGCAGGCACCCGGCCGCACACGCAACGGCGAACAGTAATCCAAATCTGCCTGGAAGGATCGCATTTCGAGTCGCTCTGCATTGACAATCTCTTGACTGTTTCAAGGCGGCCATGTAAACAAAGCCACCTGTGCGCTTTGCGTTCCGGTTACTTGTAATGGCCAAATATGCAGCTGCTCTGGCAACCCGCTGCCACGCTGTGATGACGGAATTGTTGAACTAAAGGGCCGGGGTGCGCTGAACTCTCTTTGCACTGACGGTAGAGTACAACACCTTAGGTGGACCACGACGAAAGGATGAGCGTACCTGTATCCAGGCAGGTAGGAGGTCACGAGACCGATGCATGTCTGTCGACCATGGCGGCATGTTCCAAACTACTGGAACGTATGGAAAAGAAAAGAGGAACAGGAGATGACAAGGCTGCTCGTGCCAGCAGCTCGTGAAGATGGGGCGCGGCCAGGGAAGCTTGGACGCGTCAGGGCAGTGGCTAGCGCATCACCGCCGCGGGGAAGGGCACGATTGACAACACAGCAGACATACCGCAACCTCAGTCAGGGCTGCGAATAACAAGCTGTAGATAAAAGGAACTTGTTTCTTTGCTCGCTTACTCTCCCATAGTTTTGCATTTGCGCCGTACCAAGAATATTGGTGACGGCGGTGATGAGACAACCCTGCCCAACCTCCCCAGCCCCCCGCCACATATCCGGATCCCGATAGTTGCACCCAGCCATCTCGAGTAGAAAACTTGTCGCCGCCCAGCTGCTGCATGCGCTCACAATGCAAACATTCCTTCGTGACTCCACTTGACTAATCCACCCAAGAAGACATGAGTGGGGAGCCTGGATTCCAACTCAAGCAGACAAACGGTATGCATGCGGCTTGATCCCGCCTCACTACTCACCACCCACCCATTTACTCATCCCATTGCCAGTTTCTCAGCCCCAATTGTCCCACCAAAACTCGCAGCAGAGCGTTGCTGCTTCACTGACCGCCTCCGAAGGCTACTACAGCGCGTCGGAGCACGCGTCCAGCTCAAGTGAAGAGAGGAGGCCTGTCTACCAAACACCGCCCTCATACCGCCAAACACCAGCACAAAGTCATGAGCAATTGATCCCTCACACCAACATCCCCACAACATCACTACGCGGTGTTGGCATCCCCAGGCAACAGCTCCAGCCTCCGCAGCCTTCCTTTGTTCACGAACGCCCTCAGTCACCCGCAGTATCCACCATTGCCGAGGAGTCGAGGCCAGGAACCCAAAACGCACGCCGATCCCAGCTGATCCACGACATGGAGACCGAATCGCAGGCGACTACTCCAGGCCATGACACCACACCATACATTCGCTTCGCCATCGACCAGCTCACCCGAGATGAAGATGTCCGAGGCTCAAGAATATATCCAGAGGTCCGACCCGCAGTCGCAGTCCAAGATGATGATGACGACGATTACCCTGTCGAGAGAATCATTCCCGACAATGGGTTGGGATACATGGCACTGGAGCAACAGACACAGGAGAGAATGCAACAGCACAAGCCCGCACGCAAGTCATTGAGACACTCATATACACCACTCGCCACAGCACCGGCACCCATGGCTACGCAACCAGACGGGCCCCATCACAAATCCCACAAGTACAGGGAACAGCAGTCGCCTTCTCCTACTCGGGGACAAAAGGATGTTTTTGTAGCACACTCGCAACCACACTCATCCCTTCACTTCTTACCCGCCGTCCTTCGCCCGCTGTCGCTCGGCCTGTTCATTTTCCTATGCCTGCTCATGCTCGCTGCACTCATCTTCGCCGCTGTCTACTCCAACCGCGATGAAGGTTACGGACTGTGGGACTACGGTGCCTTTGGTGACACTCGCTACTTCGTTTTTCGATATCTCCCCACATTGCTAGGCATGCTCTTGTTCCTGTGGCTCATCCAGATCCAGGCAGCCCTTCAGCGCATTGTTCCGTTCATATCAATGTCTTCAGACTCGTTCCACCGGAGGTCCGAAGCTGTGTTTCTTCGACTGTACCCGATGCAGTTCGTTTTGCCAAATATCCAGCATTTCCGCGCTGGACAGCCCGGTGTCTGTGCCTTTTACATTATTTCATGGCTATTCGCATGGACGGTCCCTCTTCTTGCTTCTAGTTTCAACGTACGGTATAACGTGGTACGCTCCGCTTGGCGATGGGTCGCTGTACAAGGTGTCATCTGGACAGTCGTTGTTATCTACATCCTTCTGCTGCTCGTCTCGATCTACCTCATGGTCTTCCTCATGCGCAGCCCGACTGGATTGAAATGGGACCCGCGATCGCTCGCAGACATCATCGCCCTTCTGGAGCGCTCGAACAACCTAGGAGATTACAACAACTCGGAGACTTTCGACAAAGGTGACTGGAACAATGTTGCTAACCGTGCTGACCGCCTTGGCTACTGGACTACTACGAAGCGACCAAGCGACGTTTTTTACGGTATTGGAGAAGAAGGCGCTGAGATTCGGAGATTTCAGGTCGAGGAGGGACGCATCAGAGAGCAAGGACCAGACCGCGCAAATCTTGACGTAGCTCAGGGCAATGACTTTTCGATCCGCATGGATATTCGCAGCCCGAACGTGCGACTTCGCTATTTGCCCTGGTGGCTGAAGGACGGTTCAGTCATTGCCTGGATCGTCATCGCCTGTATCTTGTTGATCGCCTTCTACGTCATCAGCTTCGTGAACGATGCTGTTCGCCTCGGTTTCCTGCCTCGAGTCTTTGCTCGTACAGGCGCCGACGGTTTCTCCGCTTCGAACTTCCTGTACTCGTTCGTCCCAGCAGTCATCGGTCAGTTCCTCTTCCTAGCGCTCTTGTCGCTCGACTACTCTATTCGTGTACTACAGCCATACATGGCGCTCGCATCCAAAGGCGGAGCCACTGCTGAAACCTCTTTGTTGGTCGATTACGCCTGCCGCCTGCCCTTCTCAGCAACACTGGCTGCGCTCGAGAACAAGCATTTCCAAACGGCAGTCCTATCCTTTGTCTCATTCGCATCCATGTCCCTGCCTATCCTCGCAGGAGGCTGCTTCTGGACCCAGTACTACGGCGACGTGCGAAACGTCCGCGTCGCCGCTGAACTCCCCGGCTACTACGCCCTCTGCTTCTTCCTCGCTCTCTACACCGTCAGCCTCTTCGCCCTCATCCCCGGTCGCCGCCGAGCCGCACTCCCGCACCGCAGCAACACCCTCTGCGAGATCATCAGCTGGGTCTACCAATCCCCTATTCTCACCGACCGCGCCTTCGCCCACCCCCAAACTAAACCTGACCTCGTTGCTCGCCTAATGGGTACCACCTACGCAGAGCGCACCTGGGCCCGTTCTGTCGCTTCTCTCGTCCGTCCCTCCCGCAGCAACCTCCGACCCGACTCACTTACGGACCCTGCGCTGAAAGAGAAGGCGAGAAAAGACGGTCAGCATGATTCTCTCGTCGACCCGGGCACGATCAGATACGGCTTCGGTATCCACGTCGGCCGCGACGGCCTCGAACACCTCGGCATCGATCGCGTTCGCCGCGGCGGCGACAGAAGTGGTCGCGAACTCGTTATTTGGGAGGAGCAGCAGCATGATCACAAGAGGAAGAGTTGGACGAGTCAGGTGTGAGACACACTGTCTTTTGCACTTTACGAAACTGTTTCATCTTCACGGCGCAAAAACGGCAGTTATGATGATGACTGCTGATTAACCAAGACTTTTTCTGATGGTTTTTAGCATTGGTGTTATGGGTGTTTTTTTAATATGCATTGTAGCCTTGGAATCCTTCCCCCCTTTTTTTTTCCAAAGGATTCAATGGCTCTGGGTCGGCGTTGTCTTCTTCTTCTTTTCCATTCAGTCGACGCTGTTTGACTGCATTGCAATGTAACTGTACGAATCCCTTTTTTTTCTAATGATGCACATGGAGGAGGAATGAAAATATGAAGTTTTTGTTATAGACAGATGGATGGATGATAGGAAGGAAGGGAGTCAAGTCTGAACGTGTACATGGGCGAGGCGTCATTGCCGATATATGATAGATATGCATGGAATGAGGGATGACATGAAATGAAAAATCATCATTGATTGACTACTTTGCCTTGTATACTGTGCTTTGTTGATTTCCAAGTTGACTTTGCATGCTTATTCAGGACAGATTCAGTGCTCTCTCATCAAAGCAAGATAACAATAGTAATTGTACTGATTCCTATCAACCCTACACCACAGCAACAGGAGCAGCACCAACATCGACCCCTGTGAGCCTACTAATCTCCAACTCCCCATCACCCCCCAAATTATCCAACCCATGGAACCCCTCCTCGACTACCCATCGCTGCTCATACTTCATAAGTACTTTACACGCATTACCCACAACAAGAAGTCCAGGAGGTCTACTTCCCTCCTCCTCAACAGCCGCACAAACATGCTCGAGCGTCGTGCGTATGACCCTCTGATCGGGACACGAAGCGCGTTCGAGAACAGCGACAGGGAGATCTGCAGGATATGCTTTTGCGACTAAGCTGTCGACGAGAGCAGAGAGGCGGTGGAGCGACATGAGCAGGACGAGTGTACGGGAAGCGACGAATTCCGGGGGGTCGAGTGGAGCGCCTTTTCTACCCGTACCGGTGCAGATGAGGACTTGGTCTGCGATGCCGCGGTGCGTGGCTGGTATGGCGGCGAAAAGGGGTGCGCTGAGTGCACTTGTGATACCTGGGAGTACGCTGGGGATGAAGCCGTGTGCACGGAAGAAATCGTATTCTTCTCCTCCGCGACCGTAGATGTACGGATCACCTTGCTTTATCCGTACCACCACTTTGCCAGCTTTCAGTCCCTCCAATCCCATTTCTAGGAGTTCTTCTTGCGCTTTGTCTGCATTACCGGGGAACTTTCGTGCAATATGCACGGTTGCGCGGCGAGGTACGAGATCGAGGATGGGTGCGGGGACGAGTTTGTCGGCAAGGATCAGATCAGCAGAGAGGATGGCTTTGTGTGCGGCGCGAGTCAGGAGATCTGGGTTTCCGGGACCAGAGCCTGCGAGAATGATGCGGCCGACTCGTTGTGGTGCAGTAGCTGTGGGTCCAACTTTGGAGGGGCTGCTACTGGCGAATTCGCGGAAGAGCATGTTCACATCTGCGTCGGTGATGCTTGCAAGGCGACGCAGCGGCCAGTACTCGCATATTTGTGTGAGCCAACGCATACGGCGGCCCCGTGCTGCTTCCTTGCTCTCTTCTATAATCAACTTGTTAAACGTCGCCGGTTGTCCACTATCCTCCTCTTCGGCCTCCAAATCCTGTGAGAGTTCGGCTGCATGGTCTTCCTCCCATATACGTCTTCGTAACGTACCCAATCTCTCGACCGCATCACCTAGACGTGGTGGGAGAGATGCCGCAATCTCTCTCCGGATTCTTGCAGAGAGTTTGCAACCTTTTCCAGAAGTAGTGATACCAATCTGAAGAGGACCGTCGGTATGTGTGGAGAGGAGTGTGAAGGAGCAGAGATTCGGAGCATCAGCGATGTTGACTGGTATGCGCAGTCTTCGGCAGAGGCTCGAGATCTGGGTGGCTGTGGTAAGTCAGAAGACAGAACTGTGCAGAGTATACTGTCACCACTTACCTGATCCATTCTTTCCGCCAGAAGTAACAAATACAGCGTCTACTACACCATCCACCTCAGGACGTCCAAGTGTTGTCAAATCCTCATTTTGGAAACTCCGCTTCAACCATTGTACTTCGCCAGCCTCGATACGTTTCGCAAGGCCGTAGTGAAGGGTGGCGTCTTCGGGCGCAAGTAGTATTGGTTTCGCACCAACTTCTATTGAGCGTGTACATCGTGCACCGGCAAGTGGGTTGGATCCGACTATAAGATGGATGTGCGATGTCGCATCGACTGCAGTGAGAAGTGCAGGCGCCATTATGGAGATTGTAGTGATGCAAAAAAATACAAGATCCAATTCCAACAAGGAGGGGTAATTATTTTATGGGCAAAGATAATACTGAATGCGATTACTCCTCGGCCGCAGAATTGATAATGGGCATAGCGAATTGTTGTTCCGATAGCGACGAGCCGATATGGCGCGATCGCACTAGTGACATCCCCGCGGAAAAAGAAGGATTCTGAGTGGCATACTGACCCAATCGCCGATGGCGCAATTGGCTGCTATCACATTTGCGCGGAGTTAGTCCATTTGCTCGTCTCGACCCATTACAATGTTGAGAGCCTTTCGGCTGAGCATGACTGTGTGCCCAAGTGCGTTGAGCTTTGCCGAAGCGGATATCAAGGCTGGATCCTGACTTTCAACACGGATCTTCTCTTTGACGCGGACTTCGCGGTTCTTGTACGTGAAGGTGCGATCGGCTTCGTCATGTGTAGGGGCTCGTGTGCCGCCGAGGGCTGATGCAAAGGTGTTGCGGATGCTGAATCCAGTGAGTGAGCCGCTATCCCCCGCATGATGGGGCTCTAGTGTGCGGATTTCGAGGACAAGGGCAGCGTCGAAGACGAATAAGTGAAAGGATACGTTTGCGGGCAGTGGAGGATCAAATGTCTATCACAGTCAGCGAAGCTCCTAGTCTGTGCAGATATGCAGCGTACGTTTTCGTCGACGGGATTGTCCCACCATGAGGGCTGTACAGGTGAGTGGCCTCTGAGGGCAGCCTGTGCCTCGATTATGTGGTCGTGTAGTAGTTGGAGTTGGCCCGAGACGAATTGGGCGTTGGTCGCGTCCCCTCCCCAGGTAGCGACGTCGATGGCGTCTAAACAGCTGTTGATGGAGGTTCGTACAGAAGTAAGTTGGGGGACAACGAGTGTAGGTGCATGCGGTGCAGAGGAGATGACGAGGTCCCAGGTCAGTGAGCCCTTTGGCGGTGGGAGGCTTGCAAGACGGAGCTTGATGTTCTGGGGACAGTGAGTAGATGCTCCAGTATGCATAAACGGCCAGGCCATGACCTACGCCTTTGGTAATGCGCGTGCCGATGCGCGTAATGAGGCCCTTGAGGCTCTCTGAGCGCACAGAGGTCAACACCAGTGTAGACCCATTCTCAGAGGGCGCAAGCAGGGCAGCACACTCGTCGAGGCCGGCTTTGAGCGACTGCAGCGTCTCACGCAGCTGGGCAAGCAGCCACTCGAGCTCGCGCGCTTGCGATGCCGCCTGTTCCTGGGCGAGACGGTCCTCGTCGACGGGCGGCCATATCGCGGTGGACATGACGGCGGTGGGTTTCCAAGGCAGGACACAGCACCCGCCCGCACACATACACAAGAGATAGATGCAGCAAAGCAGCAAGGCAGGATTCCGTCTTGGTCAGCCACACAGGCGCGATGGGTGGGCGTAGAGTCGACGCAGCAGATCTCGCTTCTATCCGCCCAAGGCCCGGATCCCTGCCTTGAATCAGACCCTCCTTCTTGCAGCCGGGCGCAACCTTTCGATGCGCCTGCATCTTCTGCTAATTACTACATACTTTACGGCCACTGTGCATACACACAAACGGTGCCATCTGCCGTCGTACTTCTATCTGATCCATGAACCCTTTTTCCCTGCACTTGCTGTGTGCCTCGGGATGATGCAAAGCGCGTTCAATAGTGTCGTAACCTAATGAGGTCACGAAGCTAGCCACGACGCCAGAGAGCCGACTCTCCCACACCAGCATACGTCATGGCTTGGCCGGACTTCTTAAACCAGCTCCCCCAGACCCTTTCAAGTGCACATGTTCGCTGTCCATCTCCAATAATAATAATATAGGCCCTTGTGCAACCCTGTCAATCATTGCTGGCACTGTCCTCTTTGTTACAGCTCTACAGTTGGATATCCTCCTCTCCCCACCATGGCAGGCCCGGCTAGTATGCAGTCCCGCTCTTTTCCGCCGTCGCCTATGCGCTGACATGCAAAATAGGACCCTTGCTCGCTATTGCTTCGCTGGTGCTCGTTGCTGCTGGCCTTCTCTTCCAGTTCTTGACAATCCTGACTGGCGGCGTCAACAAGTCCCCTCTCGACAGGTTCTACTTCCTCGAAGCCTCCACCAACGGCATTCCCAACGCTCGCAACCCTTCTCGATGGACCTTCTTTGCTATCTGCGGTGAAAACCCAAGCAATGGCCGCAATGCAAACTGTGGCTCACCTGTTCCCGCTCTTCCCTTCGACCCACCAAGGAACTTCGGCACTGAGCAAAACATCCCTGATGCCTTCCTCGGCACGAAGCAGTACTTTTATCTGTCTCGCTTCATGTTTGCCTTCTACCTAATTGCTCTTTTCTTTGCTGCCGTTGCCCTGCTTTCGGGTCTCCTGGCTCTCTTCAGTCGTCTTGGAGGATACCTATCATCTCTGATGACCTCCATTGCCCTCTTCTTCCAGGCCCTCGCTGCTGCTCTCATGACGTAGGTTTTCTACAGAATACTAGCGCCTGACAAATACTAATAATCACTAGTGCATGGGTTGTCAAAGGTCGCGATGGTTTCCGGTCCGCCGGCTTCCAAGCCCGTATCGGCCGTTACCTCATGGGATTCACATGGGCTGCTGTAGCTTGTTTCTTCCTAGCAACCATCATGTTCTGCCTTGGTGGTCGTCTTGGTGGTGATAGCTCTTCGAGGATGCGCCGCAACCGTTCCACAAAGTCGACCCGCAGCCGTGGAAGTTTTCTAGACACTGATTCCCAGCGCAGGGTCAAGAGCGACTACTCTGTATAGACTAAGAACTAATGAGGAAGGAGACAGGACTCGGAGGCGTTATCCTGGAGCAACTGTCTTTTCTGCCACGATATCCACGATTTACTTCAATATACATGTACAAGTATAGTTACTCTTATAATAGCGAGCAACCACATAATGCAGTTACACCCTATCTTAATGACGACAACATCTGCATAAAAAATCAATACAATCATCCGTGGATAGGCATTCTGAGTTCCTTTTCTCACTAAGCGTCCACTTCTGCTTTGCTTATGCCGTCTTGCTCGTAAGCTTCTCATATGCCTCCCGATATTTCGCCGCAGTCTTCTCCACGACGTCAGCCGGAACCTCGACTCCCTCCTTGCCCTTCAACCCATTACTCGTCAGCCAGTCCCTCAAAAACTGCTTGTCAAAGCTTGGTTGCGCCTTGCCAAGATTCTGCTCCCAAGTGTCCTTTGGCCAAAACCTCGAGCTATCCGGCGTCAGAACCTCGTCAACCAGCACCACCTCGCCCTTCTCATCGATACCAAATTCGAATTTCGTATCAGCGAGGATAATTCCTACTTCTCCTGCGCGGGATGCAGCAGCAGTGTAGATAGCCAAGGAAAGCTCCTCGACCTTGCTTGCAATCTTCTCATCCCCAATCATCTCCCTCGCCTTCTCAGGACTAATATTCTCATCCTTGCCACCAACCTCTGCCTTTGTACTTGGCGTCCAAAGTGGCTGCGGCAACTTCTGTCCTTCAATCAACCCCTCCGGCATCTTGATGCCATTGACGGTCCCAGACTTGGTGTACTCTGACCACCCAGATCCCGTGATGTACCCACGGACAATAGACTCAATGGGCAGAATCTGCAGACGGCGAACTTGCATGCTGCGGTCCTTGAGGTCTGTCTGGCTTGCAATGGCTGAGGGAAGATCATTGGTGAGGAAGTGCGTTTTCAGTCCAGGCACTTTGGTAGGTAGGTAGTTAAACCAGTAGATGGACATTGCTGTCAGTAGAGCGCCTTTGCCTGGGATTCCCTGACCATCTTGTTAACACCAATCACTTGCAGTTCTGCGACTTTCCTGGAAACTCACATTTTCCATAATCACGTCATAGGCTGATATGCGGTCGCTAGCGACGAAGAGCAGGGTATCATCATCAATTGCATATAGATCGCGCACTTTTCCTGATGCGACTTTTGGCAGGTTGCCTTGAATTTCGATGTTGGTGACGGCTTTGGAAGACATCTTTGGCTGTCTTTGTCAAGGGCGTTGAATTGAGTTGCTGGGATGACTGGAAAGGAAGTTTTATGCATGAGTATTTTATGCCCTGCATGAGGAATTGGCGGGGCGAGTGTGGCGCAGGCGTTGTGGCGTCAGGTAAGCAAGGCGCCTGATTCTGAGAGCTGTGCAAGGCCGTTTGTTCTAGTTTAAAAAACCCCAATCAAGGATTTCCCTCTAATGCGTCTAATTATATTAGGAAGGGTTAAAATATAGCTTTGGCTTCGTCTTTAAACTATCTCGTCCACAGAGAAACTACGTCAGCCGAATCAGGCACGGCGCGTAGATATCATCACACCAAACTCTATTCGGCAGCCTAACCCCATAACCACACCTCACTCAAACATCCTTCCATCACTTCTACACCCCTGTAGGTCCATATTACCATCTCCACATGTCTTCGGTTCAGTTCACGGCACTGATACGCCTTCCATTTATTCGGGGCGACTTTGAAGATCCGCCACAGGCAAGTTGCCCCTGTTTGCCTTTTGAAGGCATCATCTGACTATTACCTAGGCACAATGGGATGCCGAGAAGGATCGGCAACTCTGGAAAGTTATATCCAAGTCTTCAAAGACCAGTGATTTGAATTGTGAGTATACTATGATGTTCATCCTTAACCATAAACTGACATGGTATAGGGGTTGAGTTGTACGCATGTGCATCATAAATGAAATGACAGACTTGCTGACTTCACCGTAGAGCGGACAAGTTCCAGGTTCCGCCCACCTTTCTTCTGCAGCAAGCAGCATGGTTGTACGAAAGGCATCTTGATCATGTTCGAAACCAGATGAAGAAGGTCAGCATCACAAATGCTGCTCCGTCATCACCTACAGTCGGCAGTACCATGACTGCTGTGGGTGGTGTGGCCATGCGAAGAGGCGGTAGCGCCGGGTCTGGGGGTACGATCTGTTCCCACGATAGTGTCCGTAACTAACCATGAGTAGCTGGAAAGACACCATCTGCCTTGTCTGGGCGTTCGAGAGAGAGCCCTAGTTTGCGTAACGCAGAGGTGGCGACCCCTGGTAAGCATCTCAGATGATGGACTGCAGACGATTTTAAGAGATAAGTCTTTTAACAAAAATTAGCTCCTTCTCTTTCGAGAACACCCTCTACAACTACAATCACTCAGTCTAGAGCACATGCTCAGGCGCCTGCCCGAACATTGTCTACTCGGTCTACCCAGCGTCCCAACCTGACAAGCCGCAAGTCAGAGGAAAGGGCTCAAGCCTCAAACTTACCTCACCCAAGTTACCGAAATGATGAGGATGTATCACCCGAGATTCCGGAATCATCGTCTTCAAGCTCATCCTCTTTATCGGATGCAGACCATCCAGTTCACCGCAGTCAATTGTTTAAGAGACCTCCTCGTTTTCAACAGAAGCGCCCACGAGATCTTGCTACGTTTGATGAGGGTGATGTTGCGCAGGAATTTGATGAGTCTGGTTCTCATGAGACGAGTTTGCCCTTTGCGTCTGCTGCAAGAACGCAACCAAGTAGCAGCAAATTTGCACAGGACGCACAGTTTCGCGGTAGTACTAAAGCAGAGCAAAAGGCCGTACTTCCCCATCGCTCCAGGACCGATCCACCATCGAGACAGAAGTCAATTGATGTACAGTCTCTTACTACTGAGACAGCATCGTCAATGACCAGCTCAGGAGGGCCTCCATCGGCAGCGAAGAGTCCCATGAGTCCGCCTTTAGGTCATCGTGCAGCGTTAGGTCGGCTCGGTAGTCCAAGGAGTGGTGGACCGCGATCTAGAAAAGAAGGCAGTGAAGGCACTCCCAGTATGGGAAGTAGCTTCAGTGATATTGATGGTTAGTTCTGGATCCAACTGTAGATTGACACAAGCTTATTTCGAGCAGATGCTGGAATTAGTCAGTCGGCTCTCGAGGAAGCGCTGCTGAGCAACATGCAACATGGGCGAATGAGCACATTGAGTCGCATGTCGAAGTGGTAGGCAACGACGTATTAGGTATTGTAAAGTCTTGGCGATCGTAACGGAGTTTGATTTATACAAAGAACACTATCACCACTCACTATAGCTTTAGTATTGTTTGTAATTCAGTTTCACCTTCTTAACAATCGCCATAGCCATCTAGCCTTGACGTTAACTCACCACCTCACATCGACCGTTTTCCAAACACCACGTTTCTACAGGTACTGTTTGTCACACTAACTCAACTGACCAACATAGCCGTCATGGAGCGAGGACCATTGCTTCCAAGAATAATCATCTCAGACTACACAATTACCCCCCAAATAGCAACATCATACCACGCGATCAAAGCTTTTCAACCAGAGAAAGAGGACACTATATTCTTTGGCCAAACTTACAAGCTCATAAAATCTCTCCTCACACACCCTCGTTGCCTGCACCGCCGCGGCACCTCCACTTGGCCCTGTCGACCCTGCGAAACAGCCTTCACAAGCAAATACTGGACCTGTGCCGCCCTGCTCCTAGACTACTATGCCGACTTTTACGCCCACGATAGCGCGCTCATGCAAGCGATATGGTTCCACCTTTTTGACATATGGCAGGAAAGCACAGCATGGCTTATCGACAATGCGGTATTAGAAGTCAGAGCACAGCAACAAAGCAGTACAGCAGACACAAACACAACGATGCTGCGTGCGGACCGAGTCCGATGCGCAGCAAAAGCCCGAGCATTCGTCAAAAACGTCAAAGACACAGTCGAACTCGTCGAAGTAGTCCTCTGGGGCCGCAAACAAGGCACCAACACCGCCGCCGCGGCGCACCCAACCCAAGAAACTATCCTTTACGACCCGCGAGGTGAGGTATGGCGTCCCAATGGTGAATACGACACCGGACCGTGGATCAGCGGCATAAAGCCATGGTGCCAGTTCTTATACAACGACGGACCAGGCGTAGCGCCTCTCCCTATTCCTCCCAGTCTCGCAAAGCAACAAAACCTCAATCCCAACAGTAGCAATACAAATAGAAAACCGGACAACAGCAACCCAATAACAACAACCCGCTACATCCCCCACCCCGCCATCGCAATCCTAACCTCGCACACCCAGCGCGCCCGCGCCCTCGCATTAGCCCACTATACCGCTTTCACACCCGAGGAAACCCACGTCTCCCACCTCAAAGAGTTTGATGCGTACGCCCCTGTTTTCCCAACCCCAAGACACCCAGTGCATACGTGTACGTCGCCGCTGACGGGCCACACGATGTCGTACGCGCTGGGCAACGGCGCGCCGCCCGTGCTGCGGCATGTCGGGTTTGCGGATCCGGAGATGATGGATGAGCGGGCGGACTGGAATCTGCTGGATGAGTGTGTGGCCATGTGTAAGGGGATGGATCCGTATCTGGGGGTTAGTGGGGAGATGGGGGATGCGGGAGGGGAAGAGGAAGAGGCGGCGTTTGATGTGTGGACTGTGGTTGAGACGAGAGTGGATGGCGAGGGAAGGGAGGGGGGAGAGGTGGAGTTGGCAACTATGTTTGATAACTGGTGTGGGATTAAGGAGTGCGAACTTGATTCTTCTCGGTCAAGCAAATGAGGTTCAAAGGGGAATGGTCACGGTATATGTACATATTGAAGCCTCGACAGGATCAACAAACAATATTTTGTCTTTCATTTCTCTTTCTGGAATATCTACACTAGCTAAATGCCTTTAACTGTCAAGCTACCTAATAACCAAACACCACGCAAATATATAATAAAATATCAAAAAAACAATATACATAGTTCCACTTAAGTTACACACACGCCATTTCGCACGCGAGGTTTCCTTCATTTCAAACGCCCATAGCTCACATGTTAATCTTATATCGCAGCAGAGCTTTCTCTTTCCATCTCCAAAAAAGAAATGCAAATAAACAATAACACACACGCAGCATACATAAATAATCCTAATACCCGAAACCCATTTCCTACCAAAAGCCCTAAAGATAACAAAAAGAAACGCTGCATGCCAAAATATGAGCTTTGCGAATGTTTCTTCTTCCCTCGCCCATATAAAAAGAAAAAGGACAACAACAAAGAACAAACTCCGGTGTAATGCGATGTCATAAGCAGATCATAGCAGTCAACCCGGGATAACGCCGTGCTTCATGCTCTGGAAGACCAAAATCCCCTCCAAAAAAATCACAAATCTGCTAGGAGAACAAACGAGATAACGAGGGTACGAAAAGAACATACACGAAGCGAAGGTGGCCTTAGAAAAAACCCTTCCCTTCAGAGTATGCGATGGGATCGGGTTACCGTGGAAAAAAAGTGCCGATAGAGGATTCATTATACCCTACGCGCTCCAAAGAGACTCAAGTTGATTGCAGTCTCATTCCCAGTGGGATTGCCTGAGCTCTCTGCTAGGATTTCCCATCTCGGCTGGACGAAGGGGTAATGTCGGATTTCCTTCTCTTGCTTCAACTGCAATTTGCCAGGCGCCTGCGTGACTGCCTGGCCCTGACCCGCTGCAGGGGTTGGGCGTTGTGAATACACAGGCGAAGGTTGCATGGCGCGCTGTTGCATCTGCTGCATCTGCTGCATCTGTGAGAGTGGTGATGGGATAGCCTGGCCTGAAGGTGTTCGTTGGAGCTGGGCGGGGAGCATCTTGTTTTGTGGATGCTGTGAGTATTGCTGCATGTTGCGCGTTTGTTGCGCTTGCTGAGCTGCCTGCATTTGCTGCTGTCGTTGCTGTTGCTGGCTCGCGTACCGTTGTTGAGGTGTCGGAGATCCCGTAGCCTGCGCTTGCGGATTTTGGTACGGTGTCGGCTGTCCTTGTAGTGGTGTAGGTGTCGGTGGCTGTGACGAGCTTTGATTTGGAGGAGCGTTGACGGGCCTTGCAAGCACGAGCCAGCCATCAACAGGCGCTGTCACCCCAAGAATAAAGACACAACGTGAATCATTCGCGAGCCGAGCACCATCCAGCCGAGTGACATGGAATCGGACATCGTCGGAGATGTAATCTGAGAGGAATACTGTAACGTCAAACACATGTTCAGTGATTGTAGGATACAGTTCCAAAGTGGGGTGAGTGAGCAGGGCCGCCATGGCACTCATCATAGCCGTCTGGTACGGATGTGTAGCATTGCTAATCATTGTGGAAGCGTGGGACACTGCCAATCGGAGTAGAGCCGTCAACCAAGCGTAGAAGTCCAACACTGAGAGCTTATTGTCATCAAGGGCTTGAGTCATGCCCTTGAGCCTCTCAACTAATGCTTGAAGCAGGCCAGATTGTTCCGCATTTTCAGCGCCCTTGCTGGGAGTTAGATCGATGACAGCGAGGAACTTCTGGACCATCTTGGGCGAAACAATCTCCGACTCTTCTGGTTTGGTAGTCGACATTGCAGTCAGGAAAGCGGAAGCATTGATAATCTCACGCTCTGCATTCTGTCGTATCTGCCCTGTCAGTGAAGCGTCTAAACTCGCAAGAAGCTCTAGTCCGGATGGCCGGTCCTCCTCTACTGCTGTTCTGATAGCATTGAGAAGGGTAGCAGATAGCGCCTCACTGGGGCCCGCAGACGCGTTCGCTCGGGAAGAGAAGATTCGTTCAATGGCCGCCTGACAGATGGGCAATGACAGCTCGCTAGCAAGTAAAAATACCGCAGCCACCTGCTGTTCAGGAGGTTTCTGAGATAAACCTAAATGGTCGTTTGGATCAAGAAGGGTATCTAGCGACTGATTCAGACAATCACTCGAAACATCTTTACTTAGCTTACTCAGACATCCTGGATCGGTAGCGATGTGAGTGTTCAGAATTGATAGCACCGGCCTACTGCGCAGCAAGCTTGCAAGCTGTGTTTGAGTCTTGTGCGAAGAGATTATTGAGCCAAGCCCAATCAGCTCACCCAGACACTGCATGAAACGTCCTTCAGTCTCTAAGCATAGCTTTCGCTGCTCGAGGCGATATCGATACGCATCTTGGGGCGAACATGACTGAGCCAGCGCATCGGACGGCAGGATAATGTGCATACCCTTCAGCGCGCTCTGGAAGCAACCTTCAGATGGGCTTGTCTTAAACCTTGCAACGCAGGCTCGCAAAGTTTCCAGGAAAGAAGTCAGAGCAACACAGCCAGAGCCAGCTAGGGTGGGCAGAGCTACTCGCAAGCTGTCGGTTCTTTGAGCCATCAAGCTCGAGGCCAGCCATTCATTCACAACCATATCAAACGTTGGTTCATCGAAACAGCGGAGTCGATGGAACCAGCCATGATGGCTGTTCAGATGCACAGAACCCTTGCCTGAATGCTCTTCTATGTTGCTTACAATCTTGCGGAGTACTCGACCCATCATCTGCTGGTCCATACTGGTACCACTAGAAAGGATACGCTCAATTTCGTCATCAGAGGAGGATCCTGTCTGCATAACTTCACCCATGTTATCAGAGGCAGGCGAGCAGGCAACAAGCGAGTTACGCTGACTGAGTTGACTCAAGTCATAGTTGAGAAGCTGTGGGAGCTGTCCATCAGTTTGGGCGGTGCGAGCTAGACTAGCAAGGCTGAGCAGGAGCTCGCGATCGGGGAATCGGATCGTTCGCAAGGCGGCATATCTCGCTGTAACTCTGGCAAATAGAGGATCGAAAGCACCTATGGCACGGAAAGCTTTGGCGTGGTAGTTAATCGTGTCCGCAGTGGAAGCAAGAACACTGGAATCCAAAGATGAAGTCGTGATGCCGACAACGTCCGCAAGTATAGCGAGATCTCCAAAACGTTCGAGGTAGGACCTTACAATATGGAAATCCAACGCCGTTAGCAAGGATACTGCAGCAGTCTCTTCTCCTGGTGCATCTTTGGTAGGTACACTATGGACAGTTAGCGAACTACCGTACGTGTTAATAAAAGGCCTTACTGCTCGTTGACTTCTGCATACTGAGCGACTTGTCGACGTAACCAGATACCTAGCTCAAACTTCACGGTCGGACTAAGCTTTTCTAGCTCAACTTCGTTCACGTCCATCGTGGAACTGTAGAGCCCAAACAAACTAGGTAAAGTCTGAGACATCATATGTTTGGCGTAGGTAAGGGCTCTTTGCTCCAATTCTGCAGAGTGTACTGTCCCACGAAGGAGGGTGCTCCGTAGTGTGCGAATCTGATCAGGAAGGCCAGTAAGGGGTATCTCGGTGACTAGACGCAGTGGCCAGGAGGCAGGCTGGAGACGGATTAGAGTAGACTCATCACGCTGATGAAGGCGACTTACCACAGAGAGATCTGCACCATGCCCTACGGATCCAGTAGCAATAAGCCATTGCAGGTAGCGTCCAAGCGCGAATGTTTTGGAACGAACCAGTTCTGCGACAACCTTGAAAAGAAGGCTAGGATCGCCTGTTGCAACCCATGTCATTTCGCGCAAATACGAAATAATGCCATCATACACATCGGCCCCGAGATGGTTCCACCGCCGAAGTAACCGAGTCGCCAGATACACCCTGTGTGCACCTTCTCGATAGTACGTGCAAGTCCAGCTGAGGAGAACACCGATTAGGCGGGGCGCATCTGCAATAATCTCCATGCAGTCGTAAGACAAGTCTTCGATGCGGACTGGCCTATTGTAGTCAATAGAGTCCAAGATGCGATAGACTCGACCGGCGGGTGTTTGTGAAGCGAATGATGGTTTCTGGGGAGACTTTAACAACCTGCAATTTCGCTGCTCAAGTCTCCGGATGGCTTGGGTGACGTGTGCATGGTTCCGCCTCTCTGCAAGTTTCTGGAGAAGAGGACTGTACTGCGTCCATGATGTCGGGAGTAGTAAACATGCTGGTCGTGTTGCAAGTAATCTGACAACGGTGTTCTCCAGATATTGCAAGACAGCCATATAGGGGCCCTGTTCCTCTAGCCGATAGATCCTGTCAAGTTGGTTGAGCAGCGACTCAGCAAGACGCTTGCCGCGGCGGCGGCAGCACGTAACATCCGCCCAGTAGTGGGAGATGGAAACAACCAACAGCCAGATGAACAGACGCTCTGATGCACACGTATCTAAGCCATTGACTATCCAGTCGAGAAAGTGGTCGTCGTCCAAAAGGTGCTCTTTGTAAAGATGGGTAGCCAGTTGAAGGGCGTACGTGATTCGTGGTTTCCAATCGCCTTGCCCTATTCCACCAATAACACCGTCAATGAATTGCTCCACGGAACTGGTCCAGCCTCTTCCCCACGTCACAGTACCAGCCTGTCCCTTTCTCTTGTGAGCGCGCAGCTCGTTGATACCCACGCACTTGGCCAGCCACAAAGCTCGCGGAAGCGGTATGTTCTTGTTGAGACATTGTTCCAACAGCACCTTGCCAGTGAGTCCATGGGGTATTGTGCGGCTGAGGCGACGAAGACCCGTGGTCGGATTTGCTAGATCGTGCAGCCACTGCTCACGAGTGGAATCTCTAAGTGTTAGTCGGGGTGGGGGTTTGAAGGTGTTGGGGGTCTGTAAGCGGCCAGTCTGTTGCCTCTTCTCCAGGACGGCCACAAATAGGGTGGATAGTGTACTGAGGCCAGATTTGTTTTTGAGGTTGTTTATCAGCGAGGGCCGAGCAGTATTGGACTCGTTCATAATCTGAGGCTTATTACTGATACCTGTCTTGACAAGCGCCTCGGACAAGTTATCCTCGGCACTATTACCAGTCCACGGGAACACATCGGCAGCCTTACCACCGGGAAAATGGACGGGAGGCGCGACGGCTTCAGACGCGCCTGGCTTTGGAGTGTCCTTGACTCCGGAGCCGCCGGGCCATATGCGACGCTGTTGAGACGCATCTCTTAGATGTATTGAGCCCGGGCGTGGGGGAAGGGGCAGGTTCGCGGTCGGCTGATAAGGGAAGGCGTGTATGGGCATGTCGAGGGCGTAGTTGGGCATGGCGGTATAGAAGAGCGGCGGGCGTCCCCGCGGGGGAGGGCGCGCAGCATCGTTTGCGGCATTGTGTGTGGGAGGGCGGTCGTCTTCCAGGGCTGGGTCGATGCAGTCGGGCTGGACAAGCGTTGAGATGGGCTTGGTCGGCCGACGCTGCACCTGGGACCGAGGAGGCAGGCCGCTACCACGATTCTGAAGAGATTCGTGAATCCCCGGGCCAGGTCGAGAAGTCATCGCACAGGGGGCGACTTCATTGTTGAATCAGGCGCATGCAGATGGGCAAAGGGAGGGTGCCGGGGCTGCGAGGGCTGGGCGAGCTGGGCGAGCTGAGAGGCAAGTGTAGATGTATAGATGCAGATGCAGATGCAGATGCAGATGGGAGCAGCAACAGCAGGGCGACGGGGACATGTGCTCGCGACTCTGGCCAGCACCACACGAGGAGAGATGTGGTGGTCGGGAGATGAGGAGGGTGGACGGGGTCGAAGGATGGACGACGTGAGGCGTGTCGGCTAGTGGGCAGTCTAGAGGATGTTGCCAGTCCAGCAGCGGAGACGATGATCCGGTGCTACGATAGAGCGAGGCAAGCATGGGGGGGGGGCGGCGACGGGCCTAGTGCTATCAGGCAATCCCGGCCTCGCTCCCAGCCCACGACCACGACGACGCCCATCACACACTCGTCTTACGCCCACCAGTCTCCACCACGGTAGATAAATCGGCCAACAGCCCACACCGCCGGCCCCCCAATCTCGACCATGGCTTCGAAAAAAGATATGCGCCGCGCCGACCTCAGTACGTGACTAACCGCCCGCCAGCCCTGGCTCTGGCTCTGGCTCTGGCAGCCAACGCCCCCGTCATAGGGGCTCAACATCGTGTGTCTGGTCACGTGGCTAACATGGTTGTGCAGTCGTGCCCTATGCCGAGCCCGAGAAGAGCAAAGATGAAGGCGACATGTCGAGTGAGCAGCGCCCTGCCGTCTCCCGCTGACTGGCCTATCCTGTACACGCACACCCTACTAATCCGATGGTGACTTTGCAGGCACGCTGTCGAGCACGCTGCCCATGGCTGCTGTAAGTGACGCTGCCCTAGCCGCCACCATGCTGCACGCTGATATAGTTCCCCCCAGATCTTCACGCGCAACAAGTACGCACTACCCCAACATGTTTATTTCTAGGGAATCCCACCCAATTGCAATGGCCATGGTGACTGACGTGGAACGGTGCTGCACAGGATGATCGGCTGGTGAGTCGTCTGCTGCCTTGAGTGTGTGTGCGACGTTGCATGACTGACGCAGTGCAGGGTTGCCGTAGTCTTTGCTATCCAGGCTTGGCTGGCTGAGACGGCCGAACAGAGGAAGACGTCGACTACGCCTGCTTACTTCCAGGTCGGCATGTCTAGTATGCATGCTCCCATCCCAAGTAGAGTCGGCTCCCATGCTAATTCACTCGCAGTCATGTCACTCCTCGTCGTAAGACGCTCTCCCCCGTCTAATACTGAATTACCGACATGATGTTGATGCTGACGCTGTGCCACAGACATACTCGTCCATGTTCCTCCCCCCGCCGCCTGCTCGTCCCGGCCAGGCGTCAGGCACCGAGGCCTTTGCTGCTGTGCCCCCTTCGTAGGTGGCAGTACGAGGATAGATTGTCTGTAGCCGGTGCCAAGGTAGCAGCTGTACTATGCAAACTGTATAATCCAATCTTGGCCGCGAGCATGCGACGATACCTGTCGGCTGGCGGCCAACGACCAATGTCTTGCACCATCGACGGTTCGTGTGTTGCCGCGTCGCCCCGTGTCACTCGCACCCTTGCCTACTCGCATGCATTCGTTCGCATTCCATAATACGGCAACCAGCACCGTCTATCCATTTGCATCCATGCATCCTACACCTGCCCTGTCCTGCCCTGTCCTGCCCTGTCCTGTCTTGTCCTGCCTTCACACCGTGCACAGACCATAGCGGGGCTCGCTCTTCCCCTTCCGCATCCCCACCTCTCTTTCCCAGCCTGCTCACTCGACCCTCCCGACTCTCAGCTGCAGCAGCAAACCCTCTTCCAAACCCCCCGTGAAGCCCGCAAAAGCTCCCTTTCCACCACATCTCAACAGAAAACTATCTCACTGGCGACTCGACACATCCATAACCCCACAACTCCCCACCTACACACGCGCCCACCGACAGTCGTATGTCCATCGAGAACCTTAAGTCCTTCGGTAAGAGCTGCGCAGCTGCAACCCTCAGCCCCCACCCTGCAGCACAACGCACAACCCAGCTGCTAACTCTACACTGCAGACCCGTTCGCGGAAGCGGATGAAGATACCGGCCAAGTCAAACAGACTCAGCAGGACTACATTCATATTCGTATCCAACGTACGTGCCTCACCGCCCTTGCACAGTTGACGCGAGAAGAAAAAATAAAGGTCCTCGCTGCAGGAACACTCCCCCAACTGACGCAACCGCAGAGCGCAATGGCCGCAAAACCCTGACGACCGTGCAAGGTCTCCCCAAGAAATTCGACCAGAAGAAGATCCTCAAAGTGATCAAGAAGAAGTTTGCCTGCAATGGCACCATTGTGAGCGACGCCGAAATGGGCGAGGTCGTCCAGCTCCAGGGCGACCAGCGAAAGGACGTCCAAGACTTCTTGACCGATAAGAAGGAAGGCCTCGGTCTCGACGCAAAAACAATCAAGGTGAGTCACTCACTCACTTTCGCTCCAAAATTCGGGGATAATATAAAACCCTTCTTTCCTCCCCATCAGCCAGCAAAACCCAGAACTGACGTTGGAATACTATTTAGGTCCACGGTTTCTAGTCCCGAGTCACTGCTTACCTTTTTTTTGCGCGCTCCCCCCCCCCCCTCGAGAATATTCCGGCCTTTCCTTTTTGCTGCGGCACACGGCTAAAGCGGCACAGCTTCTCTCTCGGAAGCTTTGGCTGAATGGTCTTCTCCATTGTGGATAGGAAAAGTGGAGGGCGCGACTCGAGGTGCGATAGTGAGCGGCGTTTTCGCGCGGCGGTGTAAATGCTTATGCGCTGAATGCTTGCGTTGGACGATGGGCTTTTTTTTTTACGTGATTACTACCAAGTGAGTAGCGCTCAAATTAAGAAGCATTGTCTCTCTATGTTCGCATTGTGACGTTTGTTCTCGTGTGACTAGAATTGTTGTCCAAAAGAAAATCGCGAGTGTCAACTTTTTTTTGCAAAAGATCGTCATTTGTGAGGATCCCAAAACCCACATGGTTATTCTTCACACGTCAATCCTTATGTACAAAGTATGGTTACAAGGGGGGCGGGAAATTTCCGTCTTTCTCTCTCTCTCTTTTTCAAGACAAACTGTTGTGTAACTCTCTCAAGTCCACGACGCTCTCTACGCACCGCCCGCCTGCACATCCAGCATCTTGCGCCAGTACTCCTGATCCCTCTCAATCACACTCGGCGTGCTCTCCTCTGCAAAACCCCACACCTTCCAGTCCTCCTCCTTGCCCTTGATAACCCTCTTCTGCAACACAAGGTACTCCGTCACCGTCTTGGGCACCACATTCTCTTCTTCAACTGCGTCTTGCACAGCAACTTCCCCACTCCCATTCTCATCCTCCAACTTCCGCTCGCGCTGGCGCTGCTTCTCCAGCTGTTGGCGCGCCGCATCCGGGATCCAAGGTAAGCGGTGGATAGCACGGTTCGGGGTCGCTGTAGACGAAGAGGAAGCAGGAATCGCGCGAAGCGATTGCTCGGATACGAGGCGTACGACGACTTGTCTGTACGCGGTATCGGGCATTGACTCGCCGAGGGGTGCGGCGCGGTGTGATACTACGCGGCTTGATTTAAATGGGCCGTGGAGCCGCCATTGCAATTGCACGGGGCCACGGGATAGGATGCGGGATTCGAGGGATTTTATCAGCGGAGGAAGGCAGGTTTGTTTTAGGGGGGCGGTAGTGCCTCTGTTTGTTGGGAGAAATAAATGGTTAGTGGGGGTGGTTGGGAAAGCTAAGATGTAAATATAGGTGAGATAGACTTACTTTGCAAGATTTGAGTAGATTTGCTCGTAGTTCTTTTGTGCGAAGCGGATGTATTCTTTGTTATTGAAGAGGTCGATGGGGAAGAATCTTGTCCAGCCGGTTTTTTGGATGCATGCGCGGTAGTAGTATCGTCTGGTGCATTGTTAGCCATTGTGCAAAGCCATTATCAGACGTTGTCCTCTGTAATTCCTCCCATATCTTCTCTTTGATATTTTTAATTGCCTTGCCCTCTCCCCCACCCGGTATGTCCAGCCCGTCTCATTCAATTCTAGAAAACCACTTACGAATACAGCGCCGTCCCCTTGCTCTTCACCAGATCCCAGTAATAACTCGTTAATCCCCGAACACCAATTCCCTTCAACTCGCTAAACGGCGCTCTGATGATGGTATTCTGCAGCAATCCAATGTCCTCAGTCATGGCATCCGCACTAGTCTGCGCCTTCTCATAGTTGACCTTTGGCGACGGTGCAATCTGTGCCTCAGCCGCAGCCCGCGTTTGTGCCTTGTCCTGACCGAGTTGTTTGCGTTTCGAGGGGCGCGACGGGGTGCTCGAGAACGCGCGAGTAGCCGGTATGAGAGATTGGCACCGGGAAAGGTTGTGTGCTCGGTTTTGGTGTTGGTGGCGCAGGAAGAGGCATTGTCGCTGTAGCGCTGGTATTCGAGCTGTGCGAAGGGGAATCTGTGTCGACATGCTGGGTGGCTGTGGTGTGGCACCCCGCGCACGTATTGCGTCGTGTGGTGGGGGTCGTTTTGGTATTGAGAGCGGCGGCCGCTGAAGATGTCAAAAGTCGACGTTCTGGGCAAGAGTCGCGCTAAATTTATCGGACTTCCGAGAAATCCAAGACTGGCAATCAAGGTCTCGACATTCGTGCTACCATGATTAAGTCTTGGCCCTTGCATACGATCAGGAATTGTCTTAATTTCAAATGGATGTACTGTTCTACAATTGCCATTTATTCGTTGAGAGTACGATCTAGAGCTTGTGCAATACGCTAGAAGAGTACGCCTACAACCCGCGTCCGCACATATCGTAACCTCATTTTTTATCTTCCTGATCCGCATAATACAAATACAAGCTCAATTGGAGCTGAGTGGTGATAGGAGTACGCCCGAAAATGCCAATCAGATCTCCCTTCCTAAACAAAAAAACGCCGTTTCATGCAAATAGATGTTGTACACATGCGCACAAAGATCAACAACACGGTGCGTTTACATGTTGCTGCTCTCACCAAGAAGTTTCAGCACGCCCTCGTATGTGCCGAACATAATGGCAGCACTGGGCACCACACGGAACATGTGGGGGACGAGACCGCCATAGAGTGCTGCCATACCTTCTTCCTTCCAGATCAGCCGGAAGCATTGAACGAGACCAGTGTACTTTTGTCGGCCGTCTGCCATGGGTGCTTGTCGTAACCTTGTACGAACAACCTCGTGTGGATATGTGATGAGTGCCGCCACAAATTTGGCCGAACCAGCAGCAGTCAGCTTTCCCGTCCATGCAACAGTCTGGTCCCATATTGTCGGTGGTTTGCCACTAGCAAGAACCCGCTCCTCTCTTCTTGCCAGTGACAGCTTCATCTGCTCGTATAGCATCCACTGTAGTGTGCTCTCTGTGACACCGAGATAGCTGGCCGTCAGTCCACGGTATAGTCCACGAACACCTTCTTTGCGTATGGTTTGCATTGTGCAGTCGAAAGCGTTCTTGTACTGACGACCTCGACCGTCCGAGTGGGTATTCTTGTCCAATTGCAACCGCGTCTTGACCAGCCAGATGGGATTCGTTGCGGTTCCAGTCACAATACCAGCGGCGGCGGCACTGCAGAGATGTACCCATGCGGCTTCCTGTCCATTATTGAAGTGTGTGCTAATCAATCGCTTGCCGTTTCCATAGGCAAAAAAGTTGATTGCGCGGGCGGGGACTACACCAATAAGATTAGGCCCCAGCCCTTTGAACAGCGCCCGCCAGCCTTCTGCTTTAGGGACTTGCCACAATATCTCTCCTGTTTCGCGGATGTGCAATAGCGAACTTCGTGCAAAGGACATGGATTCTATGGGTGGCAAGCCTCGGGCTGCGCGCATGGCGGCGAGGTGCTGTTGATAAAAGGTGGATTGTAGACGGGTCTTGAGGACATCAAGCGGAGCAGTGAGAGTGGCAGAGGCCATACCACCAAGTCTGAGCAAATGTTAGCTTCTGGTGCCATTGCGTAAAGACTTTGCTCCATACCCTCCGGCGACAAAATGCGCCCATGACTTTCCAGACTTGGGATCTTCTTTTGCTACGGATGCGCCATCTGCCAGTTTCGGCGGCGTGACTTCTCCCAATTCTCGCGACGAGGGTGGCAGCGGTTGCAGAGGGTGGGCGGGGCTGTCTCGAATACCTCGAGGCCTGGAGGTTTCCTGCAGTGCCATCGAGAGACAAAAAAGTTGGTGGCGGGGCTGACGACTTGTCTGATTGTGTTCGGAGAGGCGGGCGGGGGCGATGAAGCGTGAATAGATTGGTGGATCCTTGACTGGTTAAATCTCACGCAAAAGTATCGTCCAGCGATGAGTGTGGCGGATGCGCTGTACATGCAAATGCAAATGCAAATGTCCCCAGATTTTTGGCATGTAAGCCCGATGCGGCTAGCGACCGGCGAGACTACCGCGGCGTCATAGTTGCATTGCGTCGTGTGAGCCTCACCCAGATCGAGAGAGAGAGCTGCCATTGCGCCTCTTGCACATTGCACTAATTCCCACGCCAATATGCGCCCGACTTCAGCTTGTCTTGCACCTGGCTTCTTCAAGCGTAGTTTGGACGAGTTCAAGCGGCTCTCCAATTTTGGTGGGTGCCAAAAACCGCACTTTGGATGCGCCGCCACTAACATTTGCAGCGCTCAAGCTCGAGGGCCTCAGGTCGCCCCAGAAGCCATTCCCTCTGATTCTCTTCAATCAGCCCGAAGATGTCGAACTATGCAAGCGTATGAGCGACAAAGACATTGGCGGCTTCTCTTCCGCAGACTTGGACTTCCATCCCCCTACGAAGAACGAACCCCCACATGTCCGCTTTCACGGCTCCATATCCACACAACTGCCACACAACCAACCGCACATTCAAAGGACCGGATACGCCGGGTGGAGAACACTGGACCGGGGCTCGACCATCTTCGGCAAATCGCTGTGGGATGTGAGCATGTATAGTTTCCTCGCCATCCAATTCAAGTCAGATGGGCGCAAGTACTTTGTAAACGTCCAGACAGAATCCATCGTCCCTACCGATATCCACCAGCACTTGCTGCACTCTAAGACTCCTGGAGAGTGGGAAACAATCTTGATCAAGTGGAACGAGTTTGTGCGGACAAATCATGGCCAGGTTGTAGAGCCTCAGAGAGAGATGTTAACGCAAAAGGTGCGCACAGTAGGCATATCGCTGATAGATCGGATACCAGGGCCATACGACCTGAGTATCAGCAAGATCTGGGCAACAAACGCGACAGATGAGGACGAGTTTTTGAAGGCTGCTCCGGTCCCGACGTTGCAATCTAGTGAAGGTGATCTGAAGAGTGTCAGGAAGGATTCTGGAGTTAGCAACTCTTCGCATCAGACGATTACATAAATGTATATAATATTAAATTGTTGTAATTGACTCCAAGTATTTCTTTGCTGCGCTCGCTCTGCCAATTCTTCTGTCCCTTAAGGAACCATAACACTTAATACTTCTGTGTTGGTGTGGGATGCGTGGCGTTGCCTATGCGGAGCCCATTGCTTCGCGACAGGTACGCGCCTGCGCGCTCGGTTGCTGGTTACTGGGCTGGTCTCTCAACATCACCTTCACCAAATAAGGCTCAACTTGAGAACCGCATAGTCGACGAGAAAACTGCGAGCCACTTCGCCAGTACGCGATGCAACAGTCGCATAGAGGAATATTGTGAAAAGTATCCTGGAGGCAATAGTTCGAGGCCCACACAATCTGCCGCTTTGTTTGTTGTAGCTACCTACAACAACCCTAGAAGCGGCAAGGATGACGATACCTCGTTACCTTACAGCGCAAAAGATCAGTCTTCTTGTTTTGACTCGTCTCTACTGCACATCTCCTCTCCCCTCTTCTGCGACAATACCTGTTCTCTCCTTCATCTTGTCAGACAGCTTGCCTTCAACACCATCCAGCGCACGGCCACAGCCCTCTACCTCAAACCAGCAGGATGCATCTTTTTCAATCGATGCATTCGAAGACGTGCTCCAAGGACATGCGTCAAGCATGCCGGGCCGGACCCTGCTCGACCTGTTTCTCAAGCAAATGTGGGAGATAAATTCCTTCGATGCGCTGCATGCTCTCTTTGACAGTATTCTGGAGATTGTTACAGCGCCACTGCCATTAAACCAAGATGAAGAGATACCAGACCGCACCTATCTATCCAAAACATCACCCCTGGGTGCATTTGTCCGTAGAGCACATTTGGAGTTTACGAGACTGCAATTCGACGACTCAATGAAACTCTGGTCATCATTCATCAAATACAGAGCTCCAACAGCGCAATGGACCAAGCGACTTGCTGGCTTAGCTTCAAGTGGTATCGATGTAGTCGCTTCCGAGATGGACTTAAGAGCTGGGGATGATGTGTATGAGATTGCATACGGCCACCTGGAGGACCAAGAAGAGCAGGGTGCAGATACAAGCCTGGATGATCTGGATCGGATACTCGACTTCCAACTTGATCGACTGCAAAAGTTTGGAGATCGCGTTTCAGATGAAATGAAAAGTCGGTTACGCAGCATGGTGAGCCCATCAGGACAGGTACATCGCCAGGCGCATCTGGTGCACTTTTTTGACGCCTGGAAGGCGGGAGACTACACGTCCGCATTTGACAACCTGCATCGCTACTACGACTATGCTATGCAGACACGCGAGAAGATCCATTATCAGTATGCCCTGCTACACATGGCTATTCTGCAGGCAGATTTTGGCTGCTTCGGCGAGGCCATAGCTGCTATTAACGAGACCATTGCAACAGCTCGCGAAAACCAAGACATGACTTGTTTGAGCTTTAGCCTTAGCTGGTTGAACCATATGGCTAAGGCATACCCAAAGCAGATGAGAGGTGCAGGATACATGAGTATGCTTGGAAGCGAACGAGATGCATTAGCATTCCTTAAGGCCAAGGCAAAGGATGCTAAAATGTATAATCTGCTCAGCGCAAGTCTGCTCAACGAAGCAAAGCTTTCTCTCGCAACCGTACGTTATACTTCGGTCACTTAACCGGGCACAGTGCTAACATCCTACCAGGGCGATTCCATCCCACGAGCGCTGGAACACATCTACCAGTCCTCTCACCTCAACATCAAAGAGAATGTAAACAGCTATGGCAGTCAAATGCTTCTCATAGGAACACTATACAACCGCCTCGGCATACCACATCTATCTAACGTGCACTGCGAGCTCCTTCTCGACTGCTACTCGCACTCATGTCCCATTGAAGAGCGTCTCCGTGCCATTGGCCGCAGAGCCTTTATCATCAGCCAGAGCGGCAACTACGATGAAGCGATATCTATCCTCGAATCCGTGGATACATCCGTACATAAGTCACTCAAGTTCAACCAGTTCCTCGTTCTATGTATTGGTCTCATTAAGCTGAGAAAAGCTATCCGAAGGTACTTGGGCCAGATACCTAATTCATGTCTAGAGTACTAATACATCTCGATAGATCCGACTGGCCAACTGCTACGCACCTTCTCGAGACACTCAAACCTACGAATTCCCCTTCCACACCTCCGCTTGACCCGGAACTGTCGTTCCTCCAGCACGACACTTATATTAATTATCTCATCTCGACAGCTCAGTTCCCCCTTGCGTACCAGTACATTTCAGCTCTCGCCCAGTCCCTCAAGGAAGATAATGCCGACATTCAACAGCGTATTTCCGTACTGCTCATGCAGGCTGATCTCTGGATCAAAGTAGGGAAACCAGAGAGGGGCTTCAGCGTGGCACTCCGGGCGGCGAGTATAAGCTTTAGGGTACGTCTGGGCTTCACGCTCTGGTATGCAGTGGGTTGTTTGGGCGCGATCTTGAATTCGCTGGGTGAATATCGAGAGGCGAAGAGGTTAGTGGAGGGTGTTCTTCCTCAGGTACGTATTTACATCCCTTTGTCCCCGTGGCAGAGAGGTAGACAGATGATGCTAATATCCTGTGAAATAGACTCTAGAAGGCGGCGACAAAATGCTCATCGGAATTTTGTACTCGCACTTATCAGATTCCTACATGGGTCTTGCTAATCCCAATCTCGCACAAACAACTACTACTACAACTTCGAACCCGCCCCAAACACCCGCAACACCCACAGCACCATTGCACCGGTCCCGTTCTACCAACGTCGCCAAAGCAGAACTCTACATTGACCGTGCACGAGACAGTTTCCGGAAAGCGGGGTACCTAGATGGCGAATGCGAGCAGCTGATGAAGAAGGCGATTATCGCCAAACTGCGGGGCGACGAAAAAGTAGCAGAGGAATGGGCAATGAGGCACAATAGTGTTTGGGAGGAAGGACTTGCGGCATTAGAAGGCTAAACCATGTTAAAGAGAGAGATATAAAACGGTAATGCGAATTATTCGGGGCGTTGCCACACACACAAAGCCAAGTTGCAGATACAAAAGGGAAAAAATGCATTTGCTGATCTACTGTCTCTCTCTCAGCATGTTTGCTCTCGTCGTACTATGTACACACATTCAGCCCTGGCAGTTTGCTTTCTAGATGGGGTGTTTGGGCTCGAGAATGGTATATATGATATCACTTGTATAGAAGCGGTGACGTGCAAAGCGCTTACTCGTCCTTCTTGTGATAGTTGACCTTGTCATTCCAGAAGGCGGTCTGTTGTGGAGTTAGATAACAGGGCTGGGTATATATGTATGTGTATATCTGGAATGTACCTTGTCACCGTCTCCCCACCAGAAGTTCTTGGTGCGAATGTTCTGGTAGGGGTACTCGGGCCTCTCAGAGCGGGGGTGCTCGTGCTCCTCGTGGGCTACGTGCTCCCAGTGGGCATCCCATCTCACCTTTGCGTTAACGCTAGCGACGATGATGCAGGGGACGGCGACGCTGTGGTGATGGTTAGTGACCATTTCGAAGGGGAAACAGCATTGTATCTTTTTCGCCTCTTTTGAGGCTGCCATATTTCACACTAGACCCCAATTTGATTCCCTCCAATATCCCATTTGCTTGTTCTCAATTCCACAATCGTCTCGTTGTTCCTTCCTCATCCTCATCCTCATTCCCCCTCTTTCCCCAGAAAAGTAGCCGGGCAACTTACTAGAGCGAAAGCTTGCGCCAGAACTCGCCAGACTCGCCAGCGTGCTGCTCGATGTGAGCACGCTCACGGTTGAACTCGTTGTCCTCGGCACCAGCAAATTGCTTGGGGCTCTCGGAGCTGTAGTTGCGGCGGCCGGCGCGGGCAGGAGCGCGGGCAAGGGCCTTGCGCGGGGCGGCGCGGGCGACAGAGCGGGCGGCGAACATGGTGAGGGATTCGGTATGGCCGGTTTGGGGTGGAGTGGAGATGGGGGGTGGTCGCAATTGGTGTGGGCGT